ATGTGTGGGTTTGGACGGCAACTTCTGTCCGTCGAACGGCCGTCGGTATAATAAGAATAAAAAATCAGTTTATTTGTCCGTCTTTTAACAAGTTTTTTCGTTTTCGTTTTTTTATCCAAATAATAATTATTTAATTACAAATTGAAATGGCAAAGTTTCATTACATCTCCCAGAGACGTCTATCGTCTTTACCACTTCCTCTGGTTCTCTGAAATTCACCCAACCCTCTTCTTCTTTTCGACGATCGCGATTCTCACTGCTCCTCACCCGCGCTGCCGCTCCAATCTCTCTTTCTGTGACACCACCAGCGTTGCTGCAATTCCCCTGCTGTCGATTGCTCCTCTGCTTCTGGTTGCTGCTATGAGTCTCGACTTAGGTATTTCATCTCTTCTCATTCTTAGTTCTCATATTTGGAGTTTGAATCTCGCTTTTGGTAGTTATCTATCCCTCGATTTGTCAGTCTCATAATTTCTAATTGTGAAGAATTAGGGTTCTGTTTCTCGTCGACTTATAGATCTCCCAACCAAATAGGGGGAAACACGAGATTTGATAGGGTTTGGGTTTTTGTGTTCTAATCGCACTTTTAAGTAATTCTCTCATTCTAATCATTACTTATTGTAGAACTTTCCGATTTACTTCATCTTATTCTTGGTCATATTGTTCTCTGTCAAGGTCTTCTGATAAACTTTAGTAATTTGAAATTTATGGCTTTTGGTTTCTCTCATTGCTGTCAAGTGGGCAACAGTTCTGTACATGGCCTATGCTTAATTTGGTTGTCTTTTGAGTGTCAAAGATCCATATAGTTGTAATTCTTCTTCCAGTTTTAGAAAGAACTTTGTAGATCTTGCCTACTATGCAGAAATGAGATTTATAAACTTAATTATGTGTAGTATAGTGGAATTCGTTTAACACTATATGGGCTACTGAATGCTGCAGGGTTTAACTCAACATTGAGGCAGATAATGTTACGCACCATGAGTACATTAAGGTTTAGTATTTGGTCCTTTTTCTTTGCTTAGCCTCAGAGAATGCACCATCTTCATTTTTCTTGATGATCTGTTCCTTGTAGGTTACTTGGGGAAGATATGTTGGTTTAAACCAGATTGCTCTGTTGGAAGGCAAAGTTATTGTGGAAATGAAGAGCAAGTACTGAGTAGGGATGTCTACAGACTCGGGCAACTATTCGACTTCTTCAGAATGCTATCCTTCTACATCTCATCAGTTGGTATTAATGTTTGTACAATGGTATTAATTCTAAATTGTCTTTAATGTCTCGTTGTATATCACTATCCCATTTCAAGTGTTCACATATTTTTAATACCATATGCTTTTTTCTGGCAGATGACTGTTCTGACCATTTACATATTCTTGTACTTACCTGGTAATCTAATCAACTCTAGTTGTAGTTTTTTATTTTTCCTAATTGGTTTGTCGTGTGCATGTTTTGGTTACAGTTATAAGCATATCTTCTTTTGTAAAGTTGAGTTTCTGACCTTTGATTGCAAAAAATCCATAGCTTTATGCACTTTCGACTGGTACGTCTTTCTAGTTCACACGAGAGCACTTTGTTCCTGCATACACTGACTTTACTTTCATTTTGTACCCTAATTATAATTCCATGTGATCCTTTTTACAATGGAACATGCATATTTTTAGCTCTGAACTTGATGCTGTTACTGAAGATTTATACCGCCAAAGATTACATATGTTACTTTTTGCCTCACTCTTCAGTAAACTTCAGAATGAGGCTTGATGATCTATGGTTTCTTCGTTACTTTGTTCTGTGCTCTGCTTCATGACTCAACTTTGAAGGCTTTTTTAGTTTTCATATATTGACCTTACATTTTCCACTTTGTTATTTACTGCAGTTCTGCTCCATGCCTTTAGTTTCAACCATGTTTGACTTGTAAAGGGTAAAAGTTCGTTTATTCTTCAATGACCTCTGCCCTCAAAATACAACTTTATAATTGCAAGTTATTTGACTAAATTTTGGAGACAATCATTTTTAACCTCTTACAGGCCCAGTCTGCGAAGGCAGTACAACAGTGAGGCCATGAAGGAAGAACTGGAATAGAAGAATAAGTCCTTTAACCTCATAAGTTGATGCTTTTTGTTCATGTGTTTACTTCTGTTCATAGTTGAGTCCTTTAACCTCATAAGTTGCGATTTAATGGACCAATATGCAATGTAGTGTGATTTTTATGACATGCTGATACCCTTTTCTAGTTGGGCCATAAATCACACAATACACTAGTTAATTTAGTGATACGATTATAGCAGATCTAGGTTGTTTATTTCTTGACCTCCACGTTGTTTCTCCGGCCTTCAATTGAATAACCTTCAGCCTCGGGACTAGCAGCAACTGCGACGGTCTGAAATTCTTGAATAACTTTAATGAGTATGTTAGTGAAACTCACCTTCTTACTCATGTGGCTGTTGTTGCTTCTGATTTTGTTTACTATGTCCACAATGTAGGGTCTTTGAAAGTTCCCTTCGTCTTCCTTACTATGGGTGAGACATCTAAGCCAACCCACTCGTTTACTTAACACTGTATGTGAAGGCCATGCTAATCAAATGAATGGAAATAATACCTGTGCATCAATATTTTCCTGTTCTGAAGCATTAGTTAACTCTCTCTGTATGATTCTTCGTGAGTTAGGAGGTGGTCTTCCTGAACATAGACAAACTTCGGAGTTAAGTGGGATTCTGGGAATTAAGATCTTACCTTCTCAGGTATTGCTTTAACTCGCTCAACTTTGTTGTTTTGCTGTTTGGCGCTACTGTTTGACTGATGGGAAGCTGGGCATAGTCTCTTGTTTCAGGTTTTATAAGGTCACTCTCCTTTTAGAAATCTGCTGAAGAGGTATACACATAGTTTTAGAATCCTCTTCTGCATATGCCTCGAACACGATTTTCATTATTCATTAACTTGCCTTGCAGATATGAGCATCAACTCATTGTTGCTACCGGTAAAGGGGAATCTTCGCCTGTGATGTCCGAGTATGTCTGAGTTGGGCCATAACTCACCATTTTGGTGGACTCTAGGTTTATTGACGAGTTTAATTCCTGTAAAAGAAAGGCCAAAGCTAAAAAGAATTGGCGTATATTCTGCATATCTATACATGTATGTCTAAGTTCTCTTTACTAATTCAGAACTGAAGTGTTGGTATATGGTTCTTGGAGAGTAGAATCTGCTGGTTCTGTGATTTCAAATTTTCAGTTTGCATAGAGGGATTAGAGGCCTTCGTGCCATTACTTGTATAAACACTTTCTTCCTAATCAATTAGTTGCAGCTCTTCTCAGTTTGGAACTTGGCTCCTAGGCATGATATGAAGTTTGGCAGCTTTTTAGACCATGATTATGGTTCTGCTGGTTCACTTGCAGCAGCAAGGGAAAAATTGAATGGTAAGTTATCTTTTTATTTACCCTTCTATATATGCTTTTATGAATGTGCAAACGTCTCTTTGGAATTTACTGATGGAGAGCAAATATATGTAGGATTGATCATCTAATGCCTTGAGTACAACTTTCAATTCTTTTTGGAAGGCCTGCAGTTACCCTGCTGCTGCTTACTTGCATATATATATATATATATATATATATATATATATATATATATATATATATGCTTTTAAGAGGTATATGGTTAGCCTGCAGTTACCCTGTCGTATTATAATTGATCTGTGATATAGGATTTGACTATGCTGCTTTATCTTCCTTTGTTTTGAGGATTTGTTTTGTTTCATACTACTACATGCACACACAGTTTGAAATCATGGCGGGGTGAAATGGTTGCAGCAGACTTTCAGTTGGAGAAGGGATTGAAGCGTCTTCAAGATGTACAAGTTCGTTTTTAGTCATTTAGCTCGTTTGTGGGAATCATATGCATCCGTTTTATTAATTTACTCGATCTGATAAAACTATACACATGTATGCTACTGCTGCAATGGTACAGGTGAGGCTAGTAGAATTAGAGTTGCCTGTCTCATCTACATCTTGGGAAGAAGATACTAAAGTAAAAGTGAACTAGTAAGTCCTTTCTTTTCTGGATAACTAAGTTTTGCTTGCTTCTGGTATTAGAATAAATATAAGTGGAACACTAGAAACTTTAGTTAACAGTCCTATCGCTTTTCTCTTTGTAGTTTTGTTTCAAATGCTTGGAATTTGGGTCGTATACATGCATGATTGAGTAATGTTAATGCTTCTCACGCATAACTAGATACTGGTCAATATCACCCTTTTGGTTACTAGTACTACATAGCAGCTTGTTGTAGTTAATCCAATTTTAACCTAGTTAGCTAGCTTGTTTGGCGCGAAGTCTGTTTATATATATTCTACCAACCAAAAGCTAGCCATTTTGCTTCCTCTTTATGTATACCTATATACATATATTGCACGCTGATGTCTCATTCTCTGTATGTAATCCATAGTTTTCATTGTAACTAAGTTCTCTTTTCTTCTATTTGTGATGTTCCAAGTAATGAATACCAATTTTGTGTACTACATTAGGCATTATACTTTGGTAACTAAGTGATTTGAATGGGGTGTTTCTGCAGAGCTGCTGGTTAATGAAAGGAAGTTTATATACCAGTCTCCACAGTGCTGGAGTTTTGTCTTTGGTGGTATTATAAGGAGCAAAGAGGGACTGTAAGTGGGAGTTTTGAACTTTGTAAGTGGTTTGAATGACAGTAGTAAAATTTAGATTGTAGGTTTTGAACTTTTGTAAGTGGTTTGATTGGATTTGGTTGTTCCAGAATTGAAGGATTGATGTTTTATGTTTCTGATATGGTAATTCAAAGTAGGTGGATTTATGATCATCAAAGTATCTGTATATTGTTGATTTGGCATTTCAGAAAATCACAGCAGGCTTCCTATGAAAAAAAAAAAAAAATCAAATCACAGCTGGCCAGGGCAGAGCAGGCCACTCTTTAAAACAAGTGTTTTGGCGACAGTCGCTGGCTTTCAGCGACGGTCAGAGTCTGTCACTAAGTAGTTTAATTTTTTTATTATGAAATTTATTTAACGACAGTCGTTTGGAAGATTGCGTCGGTCAGTGCCGTCGCTACATTTTCCCGACGGCTAACGTGACGGTCGACCAAAACCGTCACTAAAAATTTTAAGGACTGCTGGGTCAGCGACGGTTTGGTGTCCGTCATTAAATATTTTAGCGACGGTTTTGACCGTCGCTAAAAGTCCGTATGACCGTCGCTAAATAACAGTTTTGTTGTAGTGGTTGGACTGCACATCTGAATCCAACTCAAACACTCTCAAATTAAATAACATCCTCTATGATTTCGAATCAAACCACATGTTGCAGGCTTGCAGCAATACTGCAGGTAGCAGTGTGAACAGATCAGTCATCAGAATTGAAAATCATCCATTCGAAAGGAGGTGACTTCCATGAGAACTCTTCCTCCATTCTAGCTAGTAGGCAAGTTAGATGTACGAACCTAGCCATCTAGGTCAACAACAATTAATGTTCCCTCTCATTGGTTGAGTAGTATATGACCTAGCCATCTAGCTAGGTCAACAACAATGTATATATATATATATATATATAGTACTTCTTAGGCTGATCGAGTTGCAGTACTAGTGCTACATTCTACAAACAAAGCAGCTGGTTGGGGTAAATGTGACGGTGATGATGAGCACGACCACCAGCGGCAGAAGCAGCAGTAACGGTGGAAGGAGAAGGCGGAGAGAAGAAAGTACGCTGGACTTCAACTGCAAGTTCCTCCATGCTTACTTCACACTCCAGCCCTATCTGCAAACCACACCAGAAAGAAAGCCCTAGATCATCAATTCACTATCTCTTCAGCCAAGTGCATGCTACGTGGATATTGTTATATATGTGCGCATAACTATTTATAATTGGATATAAGTGACCGGTATTGAAAGGGATACGGACGGCGGGGGAGGGGAATAATAGTTAATGGTTGACAAGCAAATTTAAAGCAATGGGAATATATTTGCTCTGTGTTCGCATGCTTTTCCGTCTACATCTGTCAGACAAAGCCTCTCTCTCTCTCTAGTGAAAGACATATCCAAATGAAAATGACACCATCGATCAGTGCATTCACCAAACCGCGTACTCGATCCCTTCCCTTGCAGCCGTATATCTTACCCACGGCCCACATTAAATTCACTCAATAATTTCGATTTCGTCTATTGGATTTGGAGTGTTCTAATAACATTATAGCTAGGCTTCTAAATTAGCATAATAATAGTACTCTAGTAATTAATGCTAGTTTCATCACTCTAGCTTCTTAATTAAAGCTTTAGTTGTAGTAGTATTGTGTGGTGTGGTTAGGGCTGTCAATTTGGTTTGGTTTGGTTAACCAAACCATTAAGTATGAAAAACCAAAAACCAAATCCCAAAAACAAAAAAACCAACATGTACTCATACACTCATATTTATTCCTATTTCCCTCCTTTTTATTGAATAAACGTCATAATAATGGTAAATGGCCATAACAAATTATTGGTTGGCATGCGTGTCAAAAGAAACAAAAAAATATTTGTTGATAAATAATTTTATTCTTATTGATTTCTTAATGTTTTCTATTGGTTTTTCGGTTTTAACCAAACCAAAACCATTAAGTTGCTTATTGGTTTAAAACCAAAAAACTGAAACCATTAGCTTTCCAATTGGTTTGGTTTCGGTTAAAACCAAAAAACCAAAACCAAATGGACAGCCCTAGGTGTGGTTCCTATATATCCCATCTTTTAAGAAAAGAAAACATAATTAAACCCCAGAGCTTAATTTCTTCAAGTTTCCCAACATAGGATTCTTGATGGATCGTCATCGTGTAAATGTCAATTCCATGCAATTAATCAGCTTTCTTTAAATTCCCTGTACGTACGATATACACCCTAGCTAGCTACCGCAACAGTAACAAACTTACATTAGATAGCTTAAGCCTGTAATATAATCCACTAGTTTCATTAATTGTTGTTTCTTAAACAAGAATCCCGCGCGCGGAAGGATTTATGTACACGTACGACACACTGACAAATTTGGCTTCATACAAGGAGGACTTTTAGTCGTCGTGAAACATCGGATCAATCAGGCTTAATTAGTTCCACTGCATCATGCAATTTCAATTACATCCAAGTGCATTAAAGAAAGAAACGAAAAGACTGATCGATCAGTTACTATTATTATATATTAATTACGTACCTTGAGGAGGAAGGAGTAGAGGACGGTGTCGTCCATGCTACTGATGTTCAAGTGAAGCACCTCGAACGACAGCATCTCCAGCACACTTACCATCCTCACAACCTGCCCCGGAACCCGCCTCGAGATCACCTTCAGCTCCACATTGGATCCGGACAGCTTGGCCTCCACGTCAGCAACCGCGGAGTTGCAACACGAACCCAGCAGCGTCATCTGATCATCTTTTACATCTCCAAACCCCGACGACGATGGAAATTGGTTGCGATGGTTACTATAACATTGATCGGCGGCAGCCGCAGTAGCAGAAGGCATTAGCTGCAACATTGGGCGAGGGCTAGGGCTAGGGCTACTTGCAGTAGCATGACTACCGGGGCTCAAACTCAGCCGCCGTTGTTTCTTGGATTCCAAGGCTTGGAGCAGGTGGTGTAGCTCCTTGATGAACTCTATCACTCCGCCTATGATCGATGCTTGGTCCCCCTTCATTTTCCAAAAGAAAAAAAAACAAAAATAGTTGTTTGATTGAATGAGTTAAAGGGTTTTTTGACAGAGTCAAACATGTTTAGCAAAGCAAATGCTTGTAATTAATAACCCATGATTTTGGCTATGTAAGTAACATATGTAGATAGATATGTAGATAAATGGTATGGTTTGTCTACCCTTTTGATGTAGAAGCGAGGGGTTAGGGAGCGGAGGAGCTTGAGATGCTCGTTCATCTGCCTTCTCCGGTTTCTCTCCACCGCGATGTGAGCCATGGTATGATATTGATCTTCTTCTTGTTGCTGTTGGTGGCTCTGGAAATGAAATAATATTCCCTTTGGTGAGATCGAGATGGGAGTGGGAAAATCAAAAGGACATGGTATTTATAGGCCAAGCTCGCTCGTGCAAGATATAAGGATAACGGGATGAGAAGGGAAAGGTGACGACGTCTCTAGTTACTACAGCTAGCTAGTCCGTTCACAGAAAGGGTGAAAACTTTGAAGGAAGTAAAAAAAAGATAATTGTAGCGTATACGTACAATAAATGCCAAGTGTTGGAGTCTCGTGAGGGTTTATTTTATTCGGGTAGTTTTGTGCCATTGCGATGTAGTAGTATTTCTTTTCCAAGCTAGCTAGCTGTAAGTCTCTCTCTCTCTCTCTATCTCTACTAGACATTACGGGATCACGTTTATGATCTGAAGGGGTGAATACCATTCAATTACAGCCGCCGCGCGAGGCCTAAACCCATAACACCACAACGTAGCTGGCTGGCCAGGCCACTATTCTTCTGTAACTCTACGACGTAATTTCAAGCCCATGTATTAGTTAATGTCCCTCTACGAGCTTCTTATACGATTGAATGTGTACAGTAATGGTTGAGCAAGATAGAAAATATATATATATATATACATACGTTGGTAATTTCTTTTACCATGAAAGTTCGTATCCATTATTATATACTGCAAGGGAGCGAAGGGAAAAGTAAAAGAAGGGGAGCTGGGAGGTGTTAAATGTACATGGCTTGTATTTCATGAACGTATTGATCATACACATATATATGTCTACTACTACTACTACCATACATGTTGCTTGCGGTACGTAGCCTAGGTAGTAACTTTGGTAATATATTCCTTTCTATGTTATATTCCCTACTATGCTACGATGTTTGGACGTATGGCATGTTTGGCCTAACATTGAGCAAAACCCAACAGGGAGAGTAGGGGGAATGGTGGAGAGGAGAGCCATGGGAGCCTAGTTTAATTTGGTTGTTGAAATAGTGACACCAAAGGTACAATAATATGAAAATAGAAAACAGAAACCCAATTTTAGTTGGTAATTCTGAGAAATCACGGAAATTGACAATTAGAAACATAAACGTGTTTAGCGAGGAGTGTACATGGGTCTGATGGTTCGGGTTTAATCGTTTTAATCAACCAATACTATTAGGTTTTGAAAATAAATACCGAATCCAAAACTCGACAAAAAAAAAAAATTCACAACACTACAGTTTGTTTATGATTAGGCTGGGTCGGGTGGACGATACACTTTTAAGTAAAACCCAACCTAAAATATCAAGCAAATAAACCAAAGCGAAAAACATCAAAATGCATATAAGTTGTTGTTCGGCTCATGGAGAAGTGTGGTTTGCTTCATTAGTATTTTCCATAAATACTTATCAAAATAAGCTATAAACATTATTCAATATAAACTAATGCATCCATGATATGATATTCTTCTAAAATTGTATACATACAAAAATTCAACGTGAATGGTCTATAATAAATACGTCTAATATGAAAAAATATTCAAATCCCTCACAAATATACTACTTTATACGATATAAATATATTCTAGATATGAACGCTTAATACAATATACAGTTGTAACACGGGTTGGGTCAAGTATCTACGGGTTGTATAACACAAAACACTCACCCAACCCAAGAGAGGTGGCCACTACATAAAAAATCCCTTGTAGTGACATTTTTATCACGACAAATTTGAAAAATGTCGTTCGAATGTGAGAGACAAAAAGTTGTGCCGTTACTTATTTGAAATGTTGATAAAACATGTTTTAAAGCAATGTATGTTGCGATAGTTTTTGTAAATGCCGGAACAAGATGAGTGTGTGGTGTCATTTACAAAAAAATGTCATAATACATATATTTTGTAGCGACATAAGTAACGAAAATTATAGAGAATGTTGGTTAATCAATAAACCAGACGAGGATACAACGTCATATGCAAAAAATGTTGAAACAACTAGTAAATAAAACCCTAGTAACGACATTTTTATCACGACAATTTTGAAAAATGTCGATCTAGTGTGGAGACTAAATAATTATGTTGTCATTTATACAAAATGTAAAAAAATAAATATTATATAGCAACATATATAACGATAGTTTTTCAAAATGTCGGTTAATCATCAAATTGGATGAATGTATAGAGTCATTCATAAAAACGTCAGAGTAAATATATTTTTCCGTGATATAAGTTACGATAATTTTGAAAAATGTTGGTTAATTCGCAAACTAGATCAGTGTGTTGTGTCATTTATAAAAAAATATATCGGAATAAACAAGTTGGATTGGTGTTATCCGACACTTATAAAAAATGTCAGATTATTTATATTTTATATTACATATATTATGAGTAATTTTACAAATGTCGTTTAAATTTGAAAATTGGATAATAATATATATTTTAGCGACATATATTATTGACACTTGTAGTCGTGGCCATAACTATTTCGATACTTATAAAACATGTCAGAGTATTGACACTTTATAACAATATATATTACAACCACTTTTGCTAAGGTAGCTTAAATCCAAAAATTGAAAAAGCATGCAATCATTTACAAAATATAACAAACATTTATACTTTTTAGAAACATATATTATTCACACTTCTAATTCCAATGTCCGCGTCCATATATACATACATCAATTAAAAACAGTAGTGATCATTACAACAAAAAAAAGAATTAGTGATTGAGTATATTAGAAAACTTCCCAATGTCTATATGACACCCATGGGTTCCAAAAAAAAAAAAAAATCTCATCCAACCTTAAACCTTAGCTTTAGCGATAAATACAGGTGCGTTGGATCGGTACGAGTGAGTTGGGTTATGGTTATTTTTGTTCACCCCTACATTCAGTTTCTTCTTTAGACCCTGTTTAGTATCAATGTTGAGACTAAGACAAAAGAAGAAAAAGAGTGGGATGAATAGTGTGGTATGACGAGTTATGATAAATTTGAAAGAGAAAAGGATATGCAAATAGTATTGGCAATCAGATTTCATGGATGAGTTAACATTTTTTGTTGCCATAATCAGGACTGTACTTCGATCTCGACTTTCCGGTCAAACCGGAAATAAAATCATATAACATGTACAATTGTAACCGAAAACCAGATTACCAACGATCCAATTTGGTTTTTGGTCATGGTGGGAGAACATGGAATTCAATTAGGTATCCACAATCGTAGATTTAATTGCCATCCCTACTTTTAAGATACATGGAATTCTATCGTACGACACAATCTTACACTAGCCCAACTTTGATGAAAGTAGTTTTGTCATGCACCACGATTGAATTCCACGTGTCTTAGAAGTAGGGATGACAATACGATAGTGTGTACCTAATTGTCCCAGACCCAGTAAATGCGGAGAATAGCTGTATTTACTAGGTACAGAGAGGGTAAAGATATAATCCAAAATTTTTTTTTTTTTTTATGGGGATGAGGCGAGTATGGAATTAGGCGAGAGGTCGCCTTCGTTTCTGAAAGACGATGGAGGAAAGAAAAAGTCAGGGATAGGAATTGGATGGTAGTGGGAAAACTTCTTAAATTCATTTTTTTATAACAACTAAATAATTAAGAGAAATTTATTAAAAAATTGGGTGGAAATGGGGAAACTTTGGGCGGAATCAAGGATAATTTTTTTCCCCATTACTTAATCCTACACAACACAACCAATTCAAATTAGTAGTTTAGGAGCATATGTATTTGTCTCTAAATAATACATATATGATATGAGTATAAGTAACATTTATATTTGTCTCTAAAGACTATTAAAATTGTCTTCACATGATATAACTATAAGTGACATTTGTATTTGTCTCTAAAAATTATTAGATTTGTGTCCATATGACATAATTATAAGAGACATTTGTATTTGTCTCTAGATACTATTAGATTTGAGTCTATAAAATATAGGTATAAGGAGCATTTATATTTGCATCTAAAGACTATTAAATTTGTCTCTATATGACATAACTATAAGCAACATTTGTATTTGTCTCTAAATACTATTAGATTTGCATGTAGAGACAAATAATTTCACCTACTGAGACAAATAACATATTTGCCCCTAAAATTTAGCTACAGAGACAACTACAACAATTGCCTCTAATTATTTGCCTCTATAGGCTTATTTTCTTGTAGTGTGATTGAATGCTAGAAATTGTGATTGTGTTATGGGCTGACAGATTTGTAGGATTGGATGGTTTGAATTTGAATTAACAACGATATCTTTGTTACGTTATAGTTTATTAGCCCTATTTGATGGGGCAAACACAAGTACGTGTTTGGATTTTGAAAATAGGATGGGATGGTAAGAAAACCCGCCATTGCTATCTCTACTTAGAAGTAGGGGTGAAAATCGGTACGGTATCGGTATCCCAATACCAAATATCAAATTACACTCAAAATTCAATCTCAATCCAGATCCCTAAATAATTTCGGTATCCCAATCTCAATCCCTAAATATTCCGGTATCCTAATCGGTATTATCGAATACGAAATTAATTACATTTGAAATAAATAATTAAATATATGAATTAGATTTGATTGTTTAATTTAGGGCAAAGAGACTTAACAAATAGTCTTGAGTTTGCCTAGAGCTAGGATATGGATAAGGAGAATGAAGGAAAGGTGACATCTCAAGTTCTTATAATTGGTAATCTTTAATTTGACGAATTGGAAGCTGAGAGACGACTAATACTAGTGTTTGCTTTTTGGTGTTATGAAAATAACAAGTGATTAGGTGAGAGATAAGAGTGACTTAAATTGGAAAGTCAAAATTGAGTTGGATGAGGACTTCTAAGTTGTGAAACAAAGATGGAATGATCTATGTATAATTAAGTGACACTCTTGGTGGTTGAGGTTGTGTAGTAGTGAATGAGAGAGTCTAGTTGAGAGGAAAAATATACACTAGTTTATATTTCGGCATTGATCAGTATTTCAGTATATACCGATCCCAATCCCGTAATCCCTAATATATTACAATTGAAATTCAATCCCAAGAAATAATACGTGTATTCGGTAATACCAAATATAAACAAATTCGGTACGGTATTCGGTATATACCAAATACCAATACCAAACTTTCAGCCCTACTTAGGTACCTCATGCCAATATGACAATGTAGCTTGATAACGATAATGGCAATCAACATACTTCATCCTTGTTAAAGTACAAGATCAAACAATGACACATTTTGACAAAGAAAAATATAAAACTTCCAGAAATCTCAACAAGAACCTCTGGCTTCTTCATGATTGAACAACCAAAGAGCTTAATCATATGCGCCATACATTCTATAACTCTTTAGTCCATGTGGTTCTGTTACAGTTCATAAAAAAAATATGTTCTTTGTGCAACCATGTTGCCACTTCAATCTCAGAAATACAGATGTAAAGCCTGCTCTTACAAAACCATTGGAAAATGGTATGCCGGTTTCTTTCCAATGCCGCTATTTAGATACTCTGCTCCTTTGCATTCTCACCTTCTTTGGTGCAGCAAGTGACGAAAGCATAAATATAGATAGAAGTAATCAGCGAACAGTCGAACAATGTCACATGGCAATTCAGAATAATATGCAATCTGTCTAAATTGGGCAGCATCAATCACTGATCCTAATAGATAATATACTCCATCAGGCATCAGCAGCATCACTTCCATGGACCAAAAGGTTATTAAATCTTTTGCTATTAAATCTTAGGAGATTAAAAAGGGCAATAAATTGAGATTCCACTGGCCAGCTGGCTAACCCACAAATGGAATGAAGACATTGCATGAGTTTCAAGGTTCACCTTTAAGAGACTGTTCAAATTTCTGCAGCTGTGATATGAATCCAGGATTGGGAGAAGCCTGAGGTCGCCTACTCCGAACATGTTGCAAGGCTTGAGATAAGCTCATATGTCGCTTCTTCATCAAGTAAGCAACAACAACAGTCACACTGCGAAACGGAACAGCTAACTACTTTATGCATATGTGATTGCCTTGCTAAAAATGCCTTTGCTGATACCAGCTACTTGCACATTACATCAATCATTAAGACAGATAAGAAGGGTACTACAAATTTTCAAGCAAGAAACATGTTTGAGGTGCTTGAACCAAAAAACCATTAAGAATAAGGAAAACCTGACTGAGATCTCTCACCTTCTGGACACTCCCATGAAGCAGTGTACGAGCACACCACCACCGAGTCGTTTAGATTCATCGATGAAATCGAAACAATCATCGAAGTACTGTGCAATGTTCGTGTTCACGCTGTCCGAAACTGGAGAAACACCAAGACAAAATATAAGGTTCCTACATAGTGAAACACTTTAGATTCTACATCAAAGACTGTAACTTGATGTAAACAGTGAGAAAACTTTGAGTTGTTCAATGTTTCAATCAGCTAGATATACGCAATAAGTCAAAACAGTTGAAAAGGGTGGTAAAGTTTTTCCCACATACTGTTGACGACCTTGTACTGAAATTCTTCTGGAAAAGAAGGTAAGAAGCTGGCGACGGTTAAAATGTGAGTTACGTTGGCTTGTTTGAGTGCATCCTTCATAGTTGCTTCGGTAATTGACCCCAAGAATAGACCCTAGAATAGTTACAATCACCATGATATATCCCTAATTAACACACTGAAAGAAAAAAACGTGTTCGCAGAGAGAGAAAAATTCCACATTCTGAATTCAGGGTTACCTCTTCAATTTGGCACAACTCTGGAGAGGGTTCAGTTCCATTTTGATCAACTGGTTGAACAGAAACGCTCGTGATTGGGCCAAAGGAGGACTGATCCATCCCGATGAGAAGACAATCAACCTGCAAGAACAGAAAACCCACACACGTATCGCATCAGAAATCGGACAAGGAAATCGCAGTCCGCGTATCACTCCCGCATTGTTGGAAAATGAAAGATCGCGGCAAAACCTTGGATCCGATGAGGACAGTAGCCACCCTTTTACTCAGAGAGAGGTGCGGCAGTCAGTATAAGGTTAGTTCCGGCGATATTCCGATGAGAAATGGATCAACGAAGAAAAGGATGGGCGGCGGCAGCTGCGGTTGCAAATGCGAGCCGATCTTGTTTTTGGATTTAGTGGAGAAGTTCAAACCAGAATCGACTACGACTAATTACCGGGTAACAGTATGGTGGGCTGGGCTCCAATTTCAAGAGCGTCAAGACGGAGCATGAGTTACGGCCCATCGTCAACAGTTAACACAAAGCCCATTATTTAATTATCTTTTTCTTTTTTCTTTTATAAAATAAAAAGAAATGTTTTAACTTGCTGCTGCCTGCTAGTAAGTAAGAACAATGTACATACTACATAGTACATCCATGTCCAGAATATTTGATTGAGATCTCTCTTCAATCTTCCCCCATACTTCTGCAGCATCCCGCTGCCTCCTCGTTGTGCAGAGATAATGCGAATCTGTTCTTAGCAGGACGATGAACCTGTAAGAAACCGCTCGTACTCTTGAAGCTGCAAAATGAAGCCAGGATTTGGAGATGCTTGAGGCCTCCTCGAATTCACATGTTCCAGAGCTTGAGATACCGTCATCCCATGCTTCTTCATCAGGTAGGCAAGAACAATGGTGACACTGGGAAAATAACAGCATCCAATGAACTCGAATTGCAGTGAAGGAAACTAAAAAACTGTAGCATGGAGCACGATTATATGCTTCTACTGAGTTAATGGGAAGAAAATGGTCAAATTCATCACCTCCTGGACCTTCCAGCATAGCAATGTACCAAAACACAGCCGCCTTGTCTCCTGGCCTCGTAGATGAAGTTGATGCATTCATCAAAGTATTCTCTCAAATTGGTCTCTTCTCTATCAGTAACTAATTCCCTCACCGTATGACAAAAACACACCATAAGATGACACAATAGTATATCCAGTCCTAGAGTCTATTCTATAAAGCAGAAATCAAGAGGAAGGTTAAGAAGATCGTCACCTGCAATGGCCTTATAAACGATATCGTTGGTGTAAATGGGAGGCAGGGACTTCAGTAAAGTTAGTACGTGAGTGATGTTGTTGCTTCTCAGTGCATTCTTGTTGAGAGCAGCACCAACTGAGCCCAAGTACAATCCCTGCGAGACACGGAAACAAGTTCGATCGATGGAGTTAAGCAAGCACAAAGATTGCCAGCAAGACTAAGAAAGATGTTTTTTTTTTTTTTTTTTTGCGTTTTACATCTTCAATTTGGCATGGAATGTTGTCGTCTTTGAAGCATCTTGAGAAATCTATAACCCTCAGAACTCTAGCGATTTGGTTCTTCATCACATCAACTGGAGCGATTTGCCAGGAGCTTTGGATCAGCAGTCTGCACTTGATGTAGTAGTAAGAGAACCAGACTGTTGTTAGAGGCTGTAGCTAAAAGTAACTAATGGCCACCATTGACACAAAAGAAAGCCTAAACTACAGAGTAAGCAAGCTGTAACTTAATAAGAAAGTTACCTCCGCGAGACCGATACGAGATTAGGCACCACGCACCAGCTACGGCGGACAGAACAGAAGGTTAATTTACTGGAATCAATCCGAACCCATATGTACAGGAGAAGACCGGCGGAGGACGGTAAAGCTGCCTGCGGATGCTCGGAATCTGGACGAGATGCTTGTCGTCGGAGAATTAATTAGAGATTGTTGTGTATCAGCGATGAAGATATGCCTTGATTTTATAGACCAATGCAATGAATTAAAGTAATCAATTGACCAAGACAATTTCTCGACGAACCGAGTCAACTTCTCAACGACTCCACTAGTCCACTTTGGTTTCATGGAGCAAGGTAATGAATTAATTAAGACTAACTAAAAGACCTACAACACTTCTTACCAAACTTCAGATTTGACATAGAAAACCCACCACCAAACCACAAATTGTTGCACATTTGAAAAAAAAAAAAGAAGATGAAAATTCCCAAGAACTTAGCAGCAAATGGGTATGTAAAGTCCTCTCGCTTCTTAATTGATTGGGACACAACAACCAAAGAGCTTAATCATGTGTGACATTCGCTCCATTACTCTTTAGTCCATCTGGTTCTGGTACAATTCATAAAAATCATGTCTTTGTGCAACCATGTTGCCAATTCAATCTCAAGAATACAGATGTCAAAGCCTGCTCTTACACAACTATTTGGTATGCCGGTTTCTTTTCAACCCCACGATTTATATCCTCTGCCCCTTCGCATTCTCACCTTCTTTCCTGCAGCAACTGACAAACGTAATCAGCAAACATTCGATATACAAGAGCTTCCCCGCTAAAAGTACTTCAACTCCTGCTACTAAGAACAATATACAGAGTAAATCCATGTCCAAAGTGTTGGATTGCTTCTACAAAAAACCAGTTTTTGATTTTGACCAACATAATTACATTAGCTACTCTACTCGGTGTATAGAATCCGTAACAGCAATCTCTCTCCAATCTCCCGCCATACTTCATCAGCATTATGATGCCACCTCATTGTGCGAGAGCAAGCATTACCATTCTGCAGAGATCATCCAAATCTGTACCTAACAGGATGATGAACCTCTAAGAAATCGCTCATACTCTTGAAGCTGCAAAATGAAACCAGCATTTGGTGATGCTTGAGGCCTCCTCGACTTCACATGTTCCAGAGCTTGAGATACCGTCATCCCATGCTTCTTCATCAGGTAGGCAAGAACAATGGTGACACTGGGAAAATTACAGCAACGAATGAACTTGACTGGTACGTTAGGAAACTAAAACTATACTGCACAGCGTGATTATATATGCTTCTTCTGAGTTGATGAGAAAAGTGCTCAAATCATCACCTCCTGGACTTTCCAACAAAGCAATGTACCAAAACACCACCTCCTTGCCTCTTGGCTTCGTCGATGAAGTTGATGCATTCATCAAAGTACTGTCTCAAATTGGTCTCTTCCCTATCAGCAACTTCCCACACCAGAAAAGAGTACCACAATAAGATGCAATAGTTTCAGCCCTAGAAGCTCTATTGAGCACAGATCAAGAGGAGAAGACAAAGAAGATCGTCACCTGCAATGACCTTATAAACGAAATCGTTGGGATAAACCGGAGCTAGGGAATTTGCTATAGTTAACACGTGACTGATGTTGCTGCTTCTCAGTGCATTCTTGTTGTTAGCAGCACCAACTGACCCTAAGAACAATCCCTGCTTACAATCGAGAAACAGAACAAGTTAGATGAAAGGAAGTGCTAGCGAGACTAAGAGATCGGAGAAAGAGAGATGCATTTTTTGTTTTACATCTTCAATGTGGCATGGAATTTTGTCCTCTTTCAAGCATCTTGAGAAATTTATAACCTTCAGTATTGCCGCGATTTGGTTCTTCATCACATCATCAAACTGAGCCATTTGCCAGGGGCTTTGGAGCAGTAGTCTTCACTTGATGTAGTAGTTAAGGAAACAGACTGGCATTAAAGACTGTAGCTAAAATTAACGGCAACCCATTGAAACAAGAGGAAGCTGAAAGCAGCCTAAACTACAGAGCAAGCAAAAGCAGAAAACAAAAAGAATCCACAGACCCATTTCAATATATATCGACCCTTTCATCGTTGATAAGAGGCCAAACAAACTAGCAAAGCCACACAAAAACCTCACAGATCAAAAGATTAAAACTTCAGTTCTAGTGACCAATCTACAGGAACAAATAACCTTAGTGGAGTGAGAACAATTGAACGAAGAAAAGGAAAAAGTCTGCAACTTTTTTCAGCAAAAACCATAAATTTGATTGGTAGAAACGATTCTGGCATCTGGGTTAAGCGACAGTTGGTTAATTCGAACGTTACCTCCGTCAGATGAGAATAGGCACCACCAGCTACAGCGGATATGAAATGCTCAAAGTGAAGGCGTTTCTGCAGGAACTTCGCTGCTCTTTGAAATCAATCCGAACCCCTGATTGTGTGGGAAGTAGAAGAATCAAACAAAGTAACAGGAGAACGACGGAGGACGCTAGAGCTATCTGCGAATACTCGGAATCCAGACCAGATTCTTGTAGTCGAAGAAAAAGGGATCACAATCAATCAATCATAGACATTGAACGGACATTCGATTGTGGGGTTCTGTGGATACTGGATACTGGATACGTCCTCCGTTGAAAGACAAAGCTGAAGAAAAACTGCATACAGCCCACTACTTAAGCCCAAATTGTAAAAGCCCACACACAAGTTCAATTCTGCTTTAGAATGTTGATTGAACAACAGAGAACACCAGAAAGGAGCTGCTGCTGCTTCTGTTTCTTGATCACAATCCCCTCTAGGCTTCTACGATTACGACTTCTACGATTACGTTCCTCTGTTTCCCTTACAATTCAGCTTTGCTTGCTGAATTACTCGGAGGGAAAAGGACGGCGTGTTGTCCAGTAAGGTGGCGGTGGCTCTTGTCGACTATCCAGTAAGGTGGGTGGTCTGTTGTCCAGTGTTAGGGATGTCGATATTGATTCCAAGCTGCAATTAGATCTTTTCGGCTGACTTGGATATTTATTGGGGTTTCTTCTTTATTTTTGTATTTTTGTTAATAATGGAGGAGATCTCTCAAAAAGCCAATCCCCTTTTCCTGTCACCTCAACCAAGCATCCGAAATCAATAAAACAGAAAGGTGTACCCACTGCTGACCGCTCTCCCATTTCTCTGCTTCTCTCTTGTCGCTCAGATATTTCTTCGCTTGCCTCCGATGAATTGCGTCAACTATCTTCCCAGGTATATGCCAAAGTTCTCTTCTTTATGATTCCGTGCGGCGCAATTCGTTTATTGAATGGGAATGAGCTGAAATGTCTCGCTATCTCTGATTGGTTTCTTCTTTGGAGAACTGCAGATCCTCTCCTCTGCCCCAGTGGAGCTCCCATTGCTGGCAGAGGAAGCCTTCAATGCCGTCCTTCTCAAATCTCGTGAGTTCGCTCCCCCTTACTTTCCTTCTGCTTTCGTTTCCCTTGCATCATTTCGTTTTTTTTTTGTTATACCAGTGGCATTACCTACGCGAGATCTCTCTAACGTTGAGTGATTTAACCACAGGACATGGCGTTATCTCATCGGCCACACCGTGGATTTTCCTTGAAGGTAGTTAGTCCTCTGGAAGTTTTCACCGTGGTTATCTGGAATTCATAGTTTCTTTTCTCTGAGTTCTGCTGGACATGGAATCCGTTAGGAAGGCAATTGGGTTTGAAACGGTGGATGAGATCTGATATTGAGTGTGTTTATTTTTTCGCATTGGCGCCACTTGCTGGTTATAAGGAAGTTAGGTAGTCATGGTGACTATAATTTAGAATGTGAACAAACTACCTATATTTTGTTTCTGGGGTCATCTGAAATATGCAGTAACTGTTGGCTGTCCTGCAACTGTTATGTCGAAAAGGTGTCGTCAGGATGTTTGATGGATGCAACTTTTGTGTAGGCAATATCTGGATCAACACCTAGTGCTGAGAAAAGTGATGCAGATGTGAAGGGTAAAGAAGGAAAATCTGATGTTTACAGTCACACCATGACAGAAGCGATGGGTGCTGGTCAGTTGAATGTACTTTGCAGCTGTTTGAACACGAGAAATTCATAATGTCTTGCTTTTTTCATCGGTCATATGGAGCAAGTACCCATGACTGATTGTCTTGTCATGCTCATTGCTTGCGGATGCTAATGTTCTGTGAATTCAGTTTTAGCTTACAGGCATGAGCTAGGAATGAATTACAATTTCATCCGGCCAGACTTGATCTGTGGATCATGCCTTCAGGTTTTTCCTTATTTCAGATTGCTATGCGTTTCTATTTGTTTTGTCTTTTATGTTACAGATTTTAAGTCCTCTTAAATGGTGCTGATACTTGTTAGTTTGAATACAAATTGTTAGACACCTGCAGATGTTGATAAGCTTCGGGAAATTGGAGTTAAAACGATATTTTGCTTGCAACAGGATCCAGACTTGCAGTATCCTAAGTAACATTGATTTCAATTCCAGTTCAGGAAATCAGAAATGAGAAATTTAAAAACTTCTCGTGGTTTAGTGGCATGTTTTGCTGATGAGTTCACAACCAAGAAGAATACACAATGATGTTGAGTATGGGTATATTATGCTTCCTTTACTAGCATTTCCAGATACTTTGGGGTCGATATTGGTGCCATTCAGCAGTATGCCAAGTCATTTGAAGATATACAGCATTTGCGTGCAGAGATAAGGTGCTCTTATTCAGAATCATGTTTCTCCTTTTATGGTGATATGCTGCTCTATTAACAACTTGCCAAAAATTTGTTTTTGAGCTGTTGGCAATATTTGAAGCCTTCATTTCTCTGCATGTTTTCTGATTGAGTTTATTGAAAAAATCAATTTTGATGGATAGTATTACTTTAGAAAGCAACTAACAATAGTGAAACAGGGACTTCGATGCATTTGACTTGAGGATACGGCTTCCTGCGGTGATCAGCACATTGTACAAGGCTATAAACCAGAATGGTGGTGTGACCTATGTTCACTGCACTGCTGGGATGGGAAGAGCTCCTGGTGTGGTGGTATGCGTGTCAGTTTTGTTTATGAATGAATTTAAAGATGGTGGATCTGATTTTGAGATGCTTCTCCAGATTATGCAAACTTTGTTGTTACAGTTTTGAAGTTCATTGTTACATCATGGATTGCATGTTATCACTTGCAGTTTTTCAATCAAATCATTGTGTTTTGTTGACTTACCATTCTCTAGCTAATAACCTAACATGGTTGCAGATTGCGTACATGTTTTGGGTTCAAGGCTACAAACTTAAGGAAGCTCATGATCTACTTCTCGTAAGTTGTAACATTTTTACTTTAGTATCCATGTGAAACCATGACAGTGGCAGTTATTTTGGTTCTATATAATTTGTAGCAAGTGCACTGTTGTATTTAAATTTGCTGCTATTCTTTGGAAAAGTTCTTTAGAACTAGGAAGGACAAGCCATGTTTGGCCTCAAAATGTAAAGCATTGAATGTTCTCACTACATCACCCTAAGCGTAATTATCATATGGAATTCATTGTTTGCTTTCAGTCAATGAGTCGTGTTAAAAGATGAGAATTGTTGTTCAATAATAGAGCAGTATTGAATGTGTGAATTTGTCGAGGGAGAGTGAAATAGTTGATATTGTTGTTAGATAATCTGATGCTAAATGTATTCTCCTTGCATACTTCAAGCTGTTTATCTTTTTGTAGAGCAAACGCTCTTGCTTCCCGAAGTTGGAGGCTATCAAGAGTGCCACCGCTGACATAGTAAGTCTTTCCTCTTAATTATGTTCTCATGCTAGAAACAAATGCTTGGAAACTTAGCTATATCGATTTTTGTACGTCTCTATTTATTTTAGTACTTGCACTGCGAGGCTTATGATTTAATGTATTAGGTCTCATGATCTGCTCAAACTCATAAAAGTGCAGCCATACTGATCCATGAAAACTATCGTTCCCAATCTTACTTTATTGCTTTGGATGTCTTTATGAAAGTTAAATAACAAGCAAGTGGCTTCTTTTGTAGATTTTTCTTTGCGAATCTCACAATCCGTCAATAACTTGTTGCAAGTTTAGTTATTGAGTTTTCTTGTGGTGAAAGCTTGCAGGATTTAGGAAGAAGCCTGTGACTTTATCATGGAAAGATGACAATTTGTCTTCTGTGGAAATTTCTGGACTTGATATTGGTTGGGGTCAGGTATATTGTCTGGAGTTCTTGGGAATGAAAGATCTCGTTTCTCTCAAATAGCTTGTTTGCATTTGCCTATGGATATATGTGGTTAGAGAAATTACCATGTGTACATTTGACCTATTACTTAGCTAATACGGCTTATATTGACATGAAATGCCTTAGGAATAAGTTGTCCCTCGAAATCTTGCATATCATGAAGAATGAGTTATTATGATGACCTTACAAAATTCAAATACTAGTTGCATGCACTATCCTAGCTGTGAGACTTATTGCTTTAGCTTTGATCAGAATTCACAACAACCAACTGTAACAATTCACCCCTTCCCAGGAAAGTCTGAAAAAGAAAAAGAAATAAGACTCCCCTAAACTCTTGACTGGAGTAACTGAAAAGTGAAAACCATATTTAAGCTGATTTTATATTTCCAGCTCATCAGTGCGGTGAGTCTTGCTTACCGATTTTTGTACAAGGATGAAATGGACCATCATGGGTAGTGGATAGGAATTTACTTTTCAAAGTACCAGTTTAGGCTTTGTATACGTGATGGATGAATAAGCTGAAGTGTCTTCTACCTCGTCCTGAAGGTTTCCTTCATTTTATTTCCAGAGAATTCCTTTGACACTTGATGCTGAGCAAGGCAAGTGGATTCTTGAAAGGGAAATGTTGGTAGGTATTCTTGATTGAGATCTCTGAACTCTCTTGTCGTTATTAAGGAAGCAAATTGTTTTCCCGCTTAACATTAACACATTGTGCTATGAGATCCCAGATCAACAAATAATTGTTTCCGAGAGAATATAGCAGGGACTTATATCTGGCTGTCAAATTTGATACTTTAACAGAGTTCTTGTTAATGAGCGCTATATAAGTGCCTAAATGTTCTGCTTGTCTATTTTTATTCATCAACAGGAGGGACGGTATGAGTACAAGTATATCGTCAATGGTGAATGGACAATCAACAAAAATGAACTAGTTACTTCTGCCAACAAAGATGGCCATGTGAACAACTATGTCGAGGTACACTCTTCCGAAGCTCTTCTCCTTCCAATTTAAGTCGATTTCGTTGAAATGGGACTTCCACAGGGACAATCTGTTCATTCTTGGACATCTCAGATCATCTTAAATGAGGTGCTTCATTATTCGAAATGCACCAACCAACAACCTGGTAGATATATGCTTAGTAGGTGCAAATCTACGAAAACATCGGAATTCCTTGATTTCAGCTATGATGAAACTTTCTTACATGCATAGGTGATCGATGATACGGATGCTGATAGAGCTGAACTACGAAAGAGGGTGATGAGTGACGATCCCTACCTGACGAGGGCAGAGCGGTCTAAAATAAGGCAGTTTCTGGAATCACAACCTGAGGAAGGAGAGAACTGAGCAAACAACTACCTTTTGTTCATGTAAGGATAAAATATCCTCTTAATACCCAATGAAACTCCCTGGAGCTATTGTTTTAAGATAGGTAAGCAGTAATAAATCTGTTCTTTAATACAAGCCCCCACAAACAGACGGCTCAGCTCTAGTAAATAAAAGAACTGGTGGAAGCTTCCACAATTGCCCTGTCCAGCTGCTACTAAATCAACATAAATAAAAACATGCTCAGCAGATTTCTCTCTTTGAAGAAGGCAGAGGTTGTACTCTGTACCAATGAACTGAAGCTTTTGATGTCTTTTAATTTTGTAGCTTATAGTCTAACTAACCTGTTTTCTGCAATTGAAGGAAGTGTACTAATGGTAAAGATTTATGTGTCTACTTTTGGTTTCAGTTTTGATACAGAATGCATACTTGTATCTTTTGTCTCTGAATCAGTAGTCTAAACTGTGATCTGCTTTATGGTTGGAGGGTCATGAAACATATGTGGGAATGAGTTGCCTTTCAGTAGCCAAAGGCAATTCTTTGCCTACCTCTTTATCCAAAACTCTCCAATGGTAAAAAAGCCAACAAATTCATGGTGTCAACTCTGTGGAAGCAGCGATAATGGTATGGCCTGAAATTCCTGCAACTGCCATACTACAACTTGCAAATCAATCCAGCAACCTTCAGCAAAAATGGTTCTCTCAAAACTTTTAATGAGAACCAAATGTACATTGGAGGGTGAAATCTTTATTATACAGCTTGGAAGTGAACTGGGTTGTTAAACTTTACCTAAAAACATATTAGAACGTGTCTTTGACTTTGCTTCTCTATTATGTTTCTTCTTTATTCTTTTTTTTTTTTAGAAAACAGACGCCAATTGCATCCTATATCATATCATTAATCAAACGATTCCTGAAAATTCCCATAGAATCGTGGTACAACCAATAACAGAAGTTCGGGTCGCTCACATCGAATGGATGTGTGCCAAAAGGAGAACAATGACCCTTAGTAGCTAAGAAGTCCGCTACGAAGTTACACTCACGATAAACATGATTAAACTCAAAAGTCCACTCCCTCAAAAGTAAGCTACTAAACTGCTTCGCAAGAAGCCCGTGACAGTGATCAGTACGATCTCTGTTTTTGATGATATCCAACGATGTTCTAGAGTCCACATTCAGCTCAACATTCCTGTAGCCGAGCTTCCAAGCAAGTTCCAGACCCTCTGCTGCACCCTTCAGTTCCGCCCTGGTGATAGTGCACTTCCCGAGATTGCAAGTAAACGCCCCCATACATCTTCCGAGGTGATCTCTCAGCAGCCCACCTGCAGCAGCACTTCCAGAAGGTTGAAGGACAGATCCATCTGATTGGACCTGAATCCATCCCTCTCTAGGAGGTTTCCAAGCAATCTCATGACTTGACTTGGTGACTTTGGGTGACACTAAGCTCTTCTGGGCATTCAAAATGGCATGACAGTTAATATTGATCCACGCTGTGATTCTATGAATAAGTCCTGCTTCACAGAACCTCTTCCCATCCATCACTTCCTCGTTCCTTTGCTTCCATAGACTCCAATAGATGATGCCAAAATCCACACCTTTCTCAGGGTCCATCATATTTCTATTCAGCCAATCCTGAAAGTTCAGGTCCTTGTCATCAACCGTTAGCTTGTTACCAAAGAAACTCCAAACTCCAGCTGGCTTAGTGCAGGATCTGAGGATGTGTTATGTAGTTTCGTCAGCTGATCTACAGAAGTTGCAGCAGCCATCCACAGTCAGCTTCCTCTTCTCCCTTTCCTTGTTGGTCAGCAGTCTATTGTGACTTGCTAGCCATAAGAAATGCTTAATACGGCTAGGGCCTCTCCATTTCCAAAGATCCTTCCAAATCTGTAGCGGTGGATCCTCGTTTTCCCCAGTCACAAGGAGGTAGGCAGACTTGAGTCTGAACCTTCCGTCTCTCTCGATTCCCCAGACTGTCTTGTCCTCTCCTAGCCATGGTTTTGGAGCTTCAGTGCCTGCAATAAGATCAATGACGTCATTAGGGAGGTAGGATCTCATCCTAGTCCAGTCCCCCTCACCTGAATCATCCACCCAGCTTGCCACTGATGCTGCCAACTCTTCCTCTGTCAGTGCTCTTAATGCATGCTCCTCCAAAATCAGCTCACAAGAAATCCAGGGGTGTGTCCAGAACCCTGTTGTTTCCCCATCTCTTAAACTCCACAGGGTAGCCTTCTTCATAAAGGGCATAGCTTTCACTATTCCCTTCCACAAGCTTGAGTGGTTGCTCTTTTTCATAGAGCAGATCCTTCCCTCCTTGTGGTGAAAGTACTTACCCTGCAAAACTTTAACCCACAAATCAGATTCATTGTTGAGAATTTGCCATGCCAGTTTAACCATATACGCCAGATTAAGGCTTCTAGCAGACCTAAAACCAAGTCCACCCTGATTCTTTGGTTTACAAACAGTGTCCCAGGCAATCAGGTGCACTTTTTTCTTCCCCTCGCAAGACCCCCATACAAATGCTCGAATTTTTTGGTAAATTGCATCACAGACTGAATAGGGAATAAAGGAGGTTTGCATTGCATAAGATGGTATAGCATTCAAAACAGTAGTAGCAAGAGTGACCCTTCCAGCTAGGGAAAGGGTTTTTGCTTTCCATGTTGAGAGCTTGATATTCAATTTTTCAAGGATGTATTTGTAAGTTAATTTAGACATTCTACCATGAAGCACAGACACCCCCAAATATCTACCCAGGTCCATAGCACAGGCACAAATACTTTGCCTAGCGCTATCTCTAATGTTCTTAGAGAAGTAAACCCTAGATTTCTCTTTACTAATAAGCTCCCCTGAAGCAAGGCAGAAAGAATCAACACATTTCATGATAATCTCAGCTTGTCTACAGTTGGCCTCAACAAAAATGACAAGATCGTCTGCAAAAAATAAGTGGGAAAGGGCAGGACCACTAGCAGATAATCTAATTGGTTTCCAATTCTTATAACTAACTTCCTGAAGAATACTATGGCTAAGCCTTTCAACGCAAAGAGTGAAAAGATAAGGGGATAGAGGACATCCCTGACGCAAGCCTCTGCTTGGTTTGAAGCTCTCTAAATCCCCTCATTCCACAACACTTGCATTTCTGAGGTTGTGACACACTCCATAATCATCCTTATGAACTTCTCTGATAGATTAGTACATCTAAGGGTCTGCTCCAGGAATTGCCAGGTTTCTTCTTTATTCAATGACTTAGCTTTGTTGACCACGTAACTCCAAGTTTCAACAACCCAGAGTGTTCCAAAACGGGATAGAGATGCTCCTAATTGAATGTAAACATATATGGATAATGCATAGTTTAATGCAAAGTCATGGTCAATCTCTATAGCAATTAGCAACTTGGTGTATACTATAATGGCTGAGATGTGGGGAAAAGCTGGCATCTTTGAAAGAAACCATTATAAATAGACATCTTGAAATACCCATCTTCACACACTGACCAAATTAACCACCAAAACCATGGCTCCTGCTAACCACCTTCTCATTTCCTGCATTCTCTTCTGCTTCATCATTGCAGTATCTGAAGCCCAGCCCTCATTCCGCCCAAAAGCACTGATCCTCCCAGTTACCAAAGACCCATCAACCCTTCAATACCTCACTCAAATCAACCAAAGAACCCCTCTCGTCCCGGTGAAGCTCACCCTCGACCTCGGTGGCCAGTACCTCTGGGTCGACTGCGAGCAAGGCTACGTCTCATCATCGTATAAACCGGCCCCTTGCAGGTCGGCTCAATGCTCCCTAGCCAACTCCAAAAGCTGCACCACAGAATGCTTCTCATCCCCAAGACCAGGCTGCAACAACAACACATGCGGCCTGATGCCCGACAATACCGTGACACGAACCGGTACCTCGGGCGATCTCGGTCAGGACGTAGTTACGATCCAATCAACCGATGGGTCCAATCCGGGCCAAATCGTCAAAGTTCCAAACTTTCTCTTCACTTGTGGCGCCACATTCTTGCTAGATGGACTTGCAAAGGGTGTCAAAGGCATGGCTGGACTAGGAAGGAACAAAATCGCCATGCCTTCACGATTCTCTGCCGCCTTCAGCTTCCAAAGAAAGTTTGCTGTTTGCTTGACTTCGGGCAAAGGAGTCGTCTTCTTTGGAGACGAACCTTATGTAATGCTACCGAACATTGACATCTCCAAGTCATTGATCTACACACCATTGATTCTCAACAAGGTCAGCACAGCCTCTGCCTACTTCGAAGGCGAGCCATCTTCCGACTACTTCATTGGAGTAAACTCAATCAAAATCAACAACAAAATTGTCCCAATCAACACAGCTCTGCTCAAAATCAACGAAGAGGGCTTTGGTGGAACGAAGATCAGCACTGTTCAGCCATACACCGTCCTCGAAACTTCGATTCACAAAGCTGTGGTTGCCACTTTCGCCAAGGAGCTAAGTGGAGTGCCTAGAATGGCAGGGGTTAGGCCGTTCGAGCTGTGCTACAACTCGACTGCGATTGGGAGCACACGAGTTGGGCCGGCTGTGCCACAGATCGATCTGGTGTTGCAGAGCAGCAACGTGTACTGGAGGATTTTCGGGGCGAACTCGATGGTTCAAGTGAAGAGTGATGTGATCTGCCTAGGGTTTGTGGATGGTGGGGTGAATCCCAGGACTTCGATTGTGATTGGTGGGCATCAGGTGGAGGATAATCTGCTGCAGTTTGATCTTGCTGCTTCCAGACTTGGGTTCAGCTCTTCTCTGTTGTTCAGGCAGACTACTTGTGCCAATTTTAACTTCACTTCCACTGCTTGAACCGAAGTGGGTGATTCATGATTGTGTATTTGTGCAATTGAACCAAAAAGGTGCCAACTTTGGTGCTTTGCATACAGCTTACATGTTATAAGTGTATATCTGTTCCTTTGTTCTTGTGATTTATATATTGGAGGGATCATGTGGCATATGCGGAGATGTGGTGGTGGCATGAACTGGATTGGTGAAATAAAAGATTGTTAAAGAACTTTTTCAAGGACTTGTGGTCAACATCTTTGGAAGGATTTTCATATTTAAAAGGCGGGAAAGTGACCTCCTATATTTGGTCTAATCCTTTGTGCCGTGGGATTTGGATTAAACTAATGCCACTTCCTTTAAAATATTCATGCTTGAAGATAAAGATGTGATAATCTTCCAAATGCTTTTTAAGATTGCTTCCTTCCACTGCAATAGATTATTGATCTGGCAAATTTGGCCATGTGGGAATATGATTAAACCCAAAATCAAATTCTTTTCCACATGCTTTCTCTTTCTATTCCTCAATTTTGCTTTTATTAGTTTACCGGTTAAAATGTCATTCCAAGTTGATGAAATTTTTTTTTTTTGACATTTTATATAGAACAACGATTGTTTTGTAGAATGGAGTACAAGTTAGATGGAGGAGTTGATTCTATTTGAGTAATAAGATCATATATTTCAAAAAGTGGGAGACAAGTTTGATCCATATCTTTTTCATCGTTATTTTAATTTATCTTTCTTTTGATGGTAATATGTAAATTGTGGGAGGGCATATTCAATATTGCACCGTAACTCTACCACAATTTGATATAAAAGAGATTGTGGGAAATATAGTATAAAGATATGTTTGACAATGCGACAATAAATATATACTAATTCGATAAATCAACATATTTTCAGTTTATTCATTTTCATTAGATAATTTTCACGTTAAAATAATAAATCAATGTATAGTGACCAAATCCCATTATAAATCTATGATCTAGCTAAATGTCACATAGTTCAGAGATGTACCTCGTGGTCGCTCGTTCTAGGAAGTGGGAGATCCCATTTTCAAGTTCGTTGTGGTGTTACTGGAGACAATGTTTGGCTGCTAACGACGAAGCCTCGTTGGCACGTGATAAATGCAAGTGGTCTCCAAATTTGATCTCTCTCCGCCATCACAAAATGTGGTGTGTACTTTACATATTCTTACATCATTAAAAAAAATCTATGATGTGTGTATCTAGGTCACAAGCCCATTTTAATTCCCCTCCAGCAGAAGCCCAAATCTCAATAGGCCCAAACCAGAAAAGTCATTTATATTTACTTCTACGCGGAAACTTGAGCCTGCAGGTGGGTCCATAGCACTGACCCTTCCTGGTCAATCTGACGTGGGCCGTTGCCCTTATCCAAACACAAGATAAACATGGCCTGCCTGACTCAGCAAATATGTTCCCCCAATGTTTGTTTATCTGCCAGCGTCGAAACCCCGCATCCCACTTTCTTCACCAATTCCCCGATATTCAGCTTATCACCCACCGAACCTCAGTTATCAAACTCTCCCGCCGCCGTCCATGGCTTCTTTTCTCCGATTCCTCCTCTTCCTTTCCATCTCCCTCCGTCTCTCTCTTCCGATCTCATCCTTCACTCCCTTACAAGACCCAATCGTTCTTCCCGTCTCCAGAGATTCCGCCACTCTCCAGTACACCACCGTCATCCGCAGCGCCGATTCGCTCCAACCCATCAAGCTCGCCGTCGATCTCGGTGGCCCGGCACTCTGGCTCGACTGCGACCACCACTCTTCATCACTTCTCCGGCGGAATTTTGTTCCGAGCCGCTCGATCCACTGTTCGGCGGCGAACTCCGACGGCCTTCTTCGCCGGACCACTCCCGGAGCTTGCGTTGTTGGAGCCCAGAACGGCGTCGTCGGGTCGAGAGCCGCGGGTCAGCTCGCTGAAGGCGCTTTCGCCGTCGGATCTACTGACGGGTCGGGGTCAACGGCGAGGGTTGACCGGTTCCTGTTCTCTTGCGGGTCGGGTTTTCTGCTGAGCGGCCTGGCGAGCGGCGCTGTGGGGATGATGGGGCTAGGAAGGACGAGAATCTCCCCGCCGGCGCAGTTCGCCTCTGCGTTTGACTTCCGCCGGCGATTCGCCGTCTGTCTTTCGTCCGAAGGATTCTTGGCTTTCGGCGACTCGCCGAGCGAGTCCATCCTCGGGCCTGAAATTTCGAAGTCCCTGCTCTACACTCCCCTCGTAATCTCCTCCGTGGCCGACGCCGGTAGCAAATCTCCAGCGGGACACGAATACTTCATCAATTTGAAGTCAATTAGAGTCAACGGCGAGAGGGTTTATCTGGGGAAGGACAGAATTGGGTTAGCGAAACTGAGCACAACCGTGCCGTACACTCTAATGGAGACCTCCGTATACAGAGCACTCACAGAAGCTTACCTGAAGGCCGCGGCGGCGAACAACATGACGAGAACGAAACCCATCTCGCCATTTGCTCACTGCTTCAGATCCACAAATCAATCCGTCCCAGTAATAGATATAGCGCTGCAGAGTGAGATGGTGAAGTGGAGGATACAGGGGAGGAATTCAATGGTTTCCGTGAAGGGGAACGGCGAAGAAGGAGAGGTAGTATGCTTGGGATTCCTCGACGGCGGCTCAAATTTGGAAGCTTCGGTTGTTATCGGTGGGCTTCAGCTGGAAGATAGGGCTCTTGAATTTGATTTGGATTCGTCTAGGCTAGGGTTTAGTTCGTCTCTGTCTATGGAGAAACAGAGTACTCCCTGTTCCAGTTTTGTTCCTCGACTCACTTCTAGCTGACTCATCTTGATGTTTCCTTTTGTATATGTTTTGACTGTAACAATCTTTGTTAAATGATACTTTACCCTGATCTAATCTCTTCATATTAAAGAAAGAAAAGCTACCTAAAATCTTCGCCAATGTTTTTGAAGCAGAGCCCCTTGGTTGGAACAGGGGATGGCTTCCTCCAAATCCCCTGTTTTTAGCCTTCCAAACCTCGTCCTTGCAGCTTTTCTGTGTGTATCCTCTTTCTGCAGAAACTCCATTGTATTAGACTCTTCTTATGCGACAAGCCATAGCTAGAATTTCTTCCACTGATTCATTGTCTTCAACCTCGACCAACATAACCACAGGGATAAGACTAAAACTTCGGTTTGGAGACTTAAATCTTTCTACCCAACTCAATATAAATGCTCTTCTACTCTCAATAATCTTCTCCGAATAACCCAGTTCTTCTTAACACAAGGAAAAATGGCATTCCTCCATAAGTCACTACTATATTTCTGCCTACTCCACTTCATAGCTCTCCCCACTCAGGCGCTCAAACCGCCATTCAGACCCAAAGCACTAGTCCTCCCAATAACCAAAGACTCTTCAACTCTCCAATACACAACCCAAATCAACCAACGAACCCCACTCGTCCAACTAAAACTAACCGTCGACCTCGGCGGCCGCCACCTTTGGGTCGATTGCCAAACCCCTCGCTACATCTCCTCGTCGTTCAAACCGGCTCGATGCAACTCGGCTCAGTGCAGGCTCGCCGATTCAGCCGGGTGGAGTTGCGAACCCGAGTGCCATCCCAACACTCCCACCCGACCCGGATGCAACAAGAACACTTGCCGCGTTTACCCTGAAAACACTGTCAGCTTCATCCCCGATTGGGGCCAGGTCGGCCAGGATGTCGTCTCGCTCCGGTCGACAGACGGTTCAACCGTTGGCCAAACCGTTGCTTACCCTGATTTTATCTTCGCTTGTGCACCAACTCTGCTGCTGAATGGCTTGGCAAAGGGCGTGAAAGGAATGGTTGGACTTGGAAGGAACAGAGTTTCGCTTCCTTCCCAATTCTCCAACGTGGCCAAAAGATTTGCCCTTTGCTTAAGCTCCTCACCCAACAATAATGGCGTCCTGATCTTTGGAGATGTGAGTTATAAAATTTTCCCAAACGTTTACTCCTCGGATTCCCTCGCTTTCACTCCATTGATTCTCAACCCTGTGAGCACGTCGAGCATACATAGGGACAGCGAGCCATCGGCCGAGTACTTCATCGGTGTCAAATCGATCAAGATCGATGACAAAGCAATTCCACTGAACAAAACTCTGTTATCAATCAACAAACAAGGCTATGGAGGGACCAAAATTAGCACAACTTACTACCCATACACAGCTCTGCACACTTCAATATACAATTCCTTGATCAAGGAGTTCACGAAACGGATGCAATCACAGGGCGCGAAAAGGGTGGAGGCCGTGGCACCGTTTGAGGCATGCTTCAATTCGACCGGCATTTTCGGCACCCGGGTCGGACCAAGTGTGCCTGTGATCAGCCTTGCTTTGAAGGACAGTAAGGTTGATTGGGACATGTATGGATCGAACTCCATGGTTGAGGTGAAGAAGGGTGTGTTCTGCCTTGGGTTTGTGGATGGAGGGTGGAATCCAGTGACTTCTATTGTCCTTGGAGGGTACCAGTTGGAGAATGTTCTGTTGCAGTTTGATGTTGCTGGGAAGAGGTTCGGGTTCAGTCCTACACTTTTGGGTCAGCGCACTGGTTGTGCCCACTTCAACTTTACCACCAATGCTTAGTAACTAAAGCTTTTCATGTGTTCTCGTCGCGCCATGGTTTGATAGTTTGATGATAACATCCACCTTATCTGAAGCTCAATCGATAAAGTGTAATAAAAAAAATAGATTTTCATATTTCAATGGGCATGGTGAATCTTTTTCTATCAATTTAGAGGATTGTATAATGTTTTCTGAAGTTTTGCAGGCAGAGATGCTGGTTTGGAGCAGGGGATGTCATTCCCGGAAATCTCCTGTTTTGGGCCTTGATTCTTTGGTAATTCCTACAATATCTTGAAGTTATTGTAACTTCATGTTTTTGACCTGCTATTACAGGTTTCACAAGTAGCATTACGTAAAATACAATAGGCATTACGTAATGGTTACGTAATGGGTGTTTATCTTACGTAATAGTTGAAAAATGTCATTACGGAAACCTTACGTAATAGACACTAATTTTACGTAATGAATATTAACCTTTCATTACGTAATCTGTTAAATCATTACGGAAGACTTACGTAACGCTTCTAATTTAACTGTTACGTAAGAAATAACTATCATTACGTAACCTTTACGTAATAGATGCATACTTTACGTAACAGTTGTAAAGTGGCATTACGGAAGCCTTACGTAATGGATGGTCCTTTTACGTAATGAATATTAATCAAGTTACGTAATGTGGTAAGTCATTACGGAAGTCTTACGTAACACTTCTAATTTAACTGTTACGTAAGATATAACCTTCGTTAGGTAACCTTTACATAATGAGCGTGTATTTTATGTAACAGTTGTAAAATATCATTACGGAAGCCTTACGTAATAGACGATGCTTTTACGTAATGAATATCAACCTTGTGTTACGTAAAATGATAAGTCGTTACGGAAACCTTCCGTAACGCTTCAAGTTTAACTGTTACGTAAGACTAACAAGCATTACGTAATTGTTACGTAATAAACATTAGTTTTACGTAATGTGACCTATAAAACCTACTATAGAAGGTAAAAAAAAGTCAAGTTATAGTAACTTCAAGGCATGGTAGGAGGTCCCTTAGTCTTTTCTCTTCTTTTTCATCTGAATCGCTTTGTACCACCTGCCACTTTATCCAAAACATTGGATGGGCAAATTCATAACAAAATCCAATAGATTCATGGTCTCAACTCTGTGGACACTGCCATCCTACAACTTGCACACCAATCCAGTAACCCTTTTGCAGGAATGATTCTCTATGACAATTCTGCCATGAAGCATGAGAAACACACTCCCTTCATTCCCTATGGTTTCAAGCTGGTCGACCACATTATCCTAAGTTTCAAATTTTCAATAACCCAAAGTGACAGTATATAATACATGCTCCCAATTGGATGAAGGTCTATCTTAATTGTTGAGATGCGTGCCTACAAGCTGGCATCTCTGTGGAAACCCCAATACAAATACACCTATGGAAAGAACCCATATCACCAAATCAACCATGGCTCTCCACTTCCCTTCTGTTCTGCTTCTCATTTCCTGTCTTCTCTGCTTCTGCATCACATTATCTCAAGCTCAGCAGCCCTCATTCCGCCCCAAAGCCCTCGTTCTCCCGGTTTCGAAAGACCCATCAACACTCCAATACCTCGCCCACATCAACCAAAGAACCCCACAAATCCCAGTCAAGCTAACCCTCGACCTTGGTGGCCGATTCCTCTGGATCGACTGCGAACAAAACTACGCCTCATCGTCCTACACCCCATCTCGTTGCGAATCATCCCAATGCAACCGCGCAAACTCCAAAATCTGCACCACCGAATGCTTCCGATCGTCACCGAAGCCAGGCTGCTACAACAACACCTGCGGCTTGCTGCTCGAGAACACCTTCACCCAAACCGGTACCTCAGGGGATCTCGGTCACGATCTCGTCTCGATCCAATCAACAGATGGGTCGAAACTGGGCAAAATTGTCAAAGTTCCGAACTTTCTCTTCACTTGTGGCGCCACGTTCTTGCTGGATGGACTTGCAAAGGGTGTTAAAGGCATGGCTGGACTTGGCAGGACCATACTCTCCCTCCCTTCTCAATTCTCTGCTGCCTTCAGCTTCCCCAGAAAGTTCGCAATCTGCTTGAGTGACTCGGGGAAAGGAGTTGTCTTCTTTGGAGATGGACCTTATGTGATGCTACCAAACGTCGAAATCTCCAAGTCATTGATCTACACTCCATTGATTATCAACAAGGTCAGTACAGCTTCTGCTGCCTTTGCAGGGGAGCCTTCCTCTGATTACTTCATTGGAGTGAACTCGATCAAAATCAACAACAAAATTGTCCCACTGAACACAACTTTGCTCAAAATCAACAAAGAGGGTTTTGGCGGGACAAAGATTAGCACTGTTCAGCCATACACCGTCCTCGAAACTTCGATTCACAAAGCTGTGATTGCTACTTTCGCTAAGGAACTAAGTGGAGTGCCTAGAGTGGCAGGGGTTGGGCCGTTTGAGCTGTGTTACAACTCGGTGGGGATAGGGAGCACCAGAGTTGGACCCGCTGTGCCGCAGATCGACCTGGTGTTGCAGAGCAGCAATGTGTACTGGAGAATTTTCGGTGCGAACTCGATGGTTCAGGTGAAGAGTGGTGTTCTCTGCCTAGGGTTTGTGGATGGTGGGGTGAATTCTAGGACTGCCATTGTCATTGGTGGGCATCAGGTGGAGGATAATCTGCTGCAGTTTGATCTTGCAGCTTCCAGACTTGGACTCAGCTCTTCTCTGTTGTCTAGGCAGACTACCTGTGCCAATTTTAACTTCACTTCCACTGCTTGAAGACGAGGGAATTGGTGCTGGGTTAAATTATGGCCGGCCATATGTTGTTTTAAGTGTTTGCTGAGTGGTTTACTAAATTACGGTGTATCTTTTTTTTTTATCAGCTGATGTTTGGAACCTAAGTTGAGTAATTAGAGTTAGTTGATGGGTCAGGCAAGTTCTGTTAATGGCAGTAGTGGTCGAGCTTGATGGCTGACTGGCTGTAACTGCAAGCCCGTACTTCATCAATTCCTGAGCTTTCAGTAGACGTTTTGTCAAATTGCCTTTTAAATCTGTGTAATGCGTTAAAGCCGATGTTGCATGGGGAAAAGACTCCAACTTGGGGTTTGGTTTGTTTTTAGTAATGATCGTGATGGGGATATTCGTTGATGTCGAACTGTCATTGCATTTATTTTCGTTATTGTTGATTTGTGCTTTGAAACTTTCTAGTATGATACACATATGGAGTTATGGAGCATATGTTGATATTCAATTCATTGTGCTTCCGTCAACGACATTTCAATCCATCAATAAGTTATTTTAAAACAAAAAATATAACTAGAAACTTTCAACATTTTATAAATTATCTAATAACATAAATGGTGCAAAAAAATCCATTCAGGGGCCTGTAACGAAGATGAGGAAGAATCTCAAGGGTTTCGATTAATTTGTTCCAATAACTTTGCAAGATCTATAAATACCTAACGCTCTATTTGTCACTAAGTCTCAAGAATTCACTCGAACGTAAAGAACGTCATAGCAGCTACCAAGTCGACACCTATTGTGAGTGCCTAGATATTCGTTATTATCGTTTTCACTTTGGAATATTCTCATTGTTAAACTTTGTCTGATGACAGGCTAGTCATTCCTCTACCTTGCTTCTCTTTACTCCTAATTCTCACTAGCTTTTTACCCGGCCCGTTGGCCGGAGAGTTTCATTTTATCGTTGACATTAATTCAATTTATCTATATGTTTAAACTATTTTAGACTTTCTAAATTTATTATATTTTGTATTAATAAGTGAGTATGTGGTGTGTCATATATTGAAAATTCTCAATACTTAGTACATTCACTTATAATGTTTGAATTCTCTAATCATAAACCATCTCACAAAGGTATACCACGTCTCATGTACAATTTTTTCTATCTTATATGAATCCATGTTGTTCAGATGAGGACATCTTAGTTAGAGTTTCTTTGTACATATACTCCATTATTGGATAAATTTCTACATCCCAATCAAAAGTTGACACTTTGGATGTTCATGAAGTTTACTGTAACATCTTATTTGTATTTAGTCTCTTATACAATATGTATCAATTGCTAATTTTTAAAATTTAATTTGGACTAACTGAGACTCATTGTCGTTGTTTATATATTATTTTAGAATCTCAATCCAAGATACTCACATACGGATTTTGATCTTAATATGGTGCGTTAGTGTATAATTTTACAACTTGTAGAACCTTCGTTTCTAAAATTTATTTATGTTTGGTATTAGTTTAGAAATAAAAATTTCATTAATTATACTAATATATGCATTTTTATGTATTGCCACATTTATTGTCAATATATAAGCATATATATTAAAAAAGAGTTTAATTATTTTTAAGTGTAATTAATACTTGTCTTTTACTGGGATTTGTAAAATGTTAAGAAAATAAAGGAAAATATGAACAATTGTAAAAGAAAATAAGGGATGGAAGGACACATTATAAGTGAGAGAAAAGTTATTCTTACTTATCATCTTCATTTATCCAATGAGGTGATCTATTCTTGCTCCATTGAATTTTTATCAAATTATTTTATTCCGTAAATATATTATTAGTTATGCATGTGTTTTATTGCAAAAAAATGCATGTGTTTGCTAAGAAAGATCATATCTCTTACGATGATCAACTTCTCTAATCTTGCCTCATTTTCATGTGAATTTTCATGAAGTCTCCTAACGATATTATGTTAACATATGTCTATCAAGAGACCCAAATTTAGTATATTATATAACAGAGTAAATACATTTTATTAATCGAATATTTCAAAAAAAATTCAAAATACAAAGTATTAGCCAAACGTTAACTCCCCGTTAGCATTTTTATTAGTAATGTTGAATCAACAACATGATGATGAGTTGGAAGAGACACGTGACGGTCTATAATCCAATTTAGTATTTTAATTAGAAAAGAGTTACAAAATTATTAATGATAACAAACAAATGGTTAATATTTTGATGTGATACAAAATATTTGGTTAATCATTTATAGTTTGAAAGGCTTGGCTAATAATTTAAAAAAACTGAAAGGTTTAGCTATTTAGATGTTATTTACTCAATATGTATCAATTGCTAAGTTGTCTCCTCCCACATTTTGTCACGGCCACTACTGAAGATCTATACCAGATCTGCTCTGTCCAATCCTCACCTTTGTCCACCAATTCACGGCCCATATAGTAACATCGCCAGCTGAATTTTAAATTGTCCTCCTGCACCATTTCTCACAGGCGCCACCAAATTGTAGACATTGTTAGTTTCGTCTACCCCCGGGTATTTCCACTCTCTATTGCATTTAACACCCGTTATTTGGTTTGCTTTCCTTCACTCAAAATTTCTTCTCCTAATGACAAATCAAAAGGTAATGACCTAACACCTACTTAGCATATGACGTAAACTGAAAATTTACTTAATAAGATTTATTCAAATATTTTTGTTTAAACAATCGCGATACATGTCAGCTTAACATTAGTATACTGTTGCTACACATATATACTACAAAAGGTACAAATGAATTATTAAATAAAAATAAAAGAAAACATTAAATGAAGATAGAGATAGCTACATAAATTGAGCATTAACTTACTTTTGTGTTTGTAAAAAAAGTGTCAACCATGATAATTTGTAAATTCTTCAAGTGCTTATGTGGCAACAAACTATTGTTGAATTGCCATAGATAGATAGATTTTAAACCTTTATTTGATTAATGCATAGGTCACTGGTTGATGAACACATGATGTTTAACATACAGTTTAGCAAAGATTCATCTTTCACATGTATCATTTTTTAACGTATCTCATGTCTCATCTTAAGATATGAAGTCAAGTTCATCAACAATCATACCGAAGTCATTTTGAAAATTTTGATTTATAATCCTTGAAAATTTATTACTCCAAGTCTGAAAATTAAATTTATTAACATATGACGTAAAACTTCAGTAGAGTTTGCTCAATTAACACGATCTAGAGAAAAAATGCAAAATATTAGTAATTTGAACTTAGGATACATTGTAAATTATTGCACCTATGATTCATATCTTTTCACTTAATTAGAATGAATAAGGTTTTTGTTTAAGAAATAGATTTTATTGCTTGGTCAAGTTTCTATTCAAACCTTTTTTTTTCTCTCTTTAATTTCCATCATTATTTTGTCGCGATAAAATGTTATTATGTATGTGTGTTTGTATAAATTGTTCATCAAAATGTAACATATTTGTAAATTATTGTAAAAGTGAGTTAAAAATTTACTTAGTGAGCTTTAATAAGATATTTTTTTGGTTGTGAAAAAAGTTATATGTGACTCAAAGACATTAGTCTATTGTTGTGTACATCGATACAATGCAAAAGTAGAAACAAAAACATAAAGGAAGTATTGGAAAAGAAAAATAAATATTAAAAAAGTTAGAGATAACAAAGGTAATATATGTCACTTTTCATATAATATTATTATTGTGTATATTGACATAATACAAAAAAAAAGATAAAAGGGAAATGAAATATTAATTGAAGAGAGAGATAGCTCCATAAATATATCAATAACTATTTTTCTTTTTGTAAAAATATTGTCCACCTTGGCAATTTGTGAACTCTTCAAGTGCTTAGGTGGCAAACAATTACTTTTGAATTGCCATTATATTATGTATAGATAGATAGATAGATGTTTCTCTTTCTTGGCCATGACCTTTTTTGAATAATAATAAAAAGAGCATCGATATTTTGAATTCTGAATAATGCTTGGAAAAGTAAAATAATTAAATTATCATCAAAAGATACAAACATATGTCGGTTGGTCGGTTGGAGAAATAAGTGAATGAGTCTTTAATAATCAAGGTTGGAGATGGTCTAACCATGCAAAGGAATGAGTAGACGTGTTACTAAATTGGGAAGAAAAAATTAATTAATTAGTTCTCTCAACACCATTCATTAATTCAAGCAAGGAATATTCTCATTCATTGTCCTCGTCATCACCCTCTCCCCTTGATCTATCTAACTAGTAATTTTCATCCCCTAAAGCCATTTATGCATCCCGACAAAGTAAGCAACCCATCCAAGAGTTGTCTCTAGAGACTCACAATTCTTATTCTCTTCACCTCGGTACCTCTCCCTTTTCATCAAACAATTGGGTTAGACATGCTCAAGAGAAGGAAGAAAGCAACAATAGCACATCAAAGCAAAATGACGTTCCTCCAACAATTCCTCTTTGGGTCATGGGTAAACTACGGGATGGGATTAGGTGCTAACCCTTATAGGGGTTAGCACCGTGATAACTAGCAAAAATCACTACGGATTATTATAAAATCAATACAACATCTAAGCTAAATCACTACTAATTCAAAGGCTTCAGATAGCATAACAACAGGGGTATAAGGGTCAATTGCACACATATTAATTAATAAGTTATTTTCTTTTACCTGGTATTAAATTTGAAATTCGAAATTAATGATAAAAATTCATTGAAGCGCGCAATTTGCCATTTCCGTTTTCCCCTTTCCCCTCTGCTCACGAACTGCTCTCCGACTTCTCCTTCGGTTGCTCTCTCCCTGTTCTCGCGATTCCATTTCCTCCGTCGGCGATTCCGTCTGCGGCTTGTGGATTTCGTTCGCGCGATTGCGTTTCCTCCTTCGGCGAAGCTAATTTCGAGGTATTCCGCCGGTGATTTCCTCCGCTAAACTGTCTTCTCCTCTGTCGTCAGTTTTGGCCTTCGAAGTCGCCGTTGTCGTTGTGGCGTCGCCGGAGTTCCACTTGTATGGTGTTAGTTTGGCGTCGCCGTTGTCGTTTTCGTTAGCATTGTCGTTGCTTGCTGCTGCTATTGAATTTATAATTGTCGTTTTCAGGTTTGCTCTCTGTTACTTTCGTTTTCCACTTTTCTGCGATGTTTTGACGCATGCAGTCTAGATTTGTTGTAGGAGACAAGGAAATTTCATAATTGTGCGTTGTGGTTAGGTTTTGTGTGTTCTGATTAGGTTTTGTTGAATGTTTTAGGGTTTCTGTGGTGTGCTTTGCATGTTTTAGGGTTTCTGGTTTCTCATGAGTCGTTTGTGGTGGTGTTCAGTAGTGCTGTTGTTTTGTTCTTATTTTTGGTGGTTTGCTTTGTGTTTGGTGACGGTTAGGATGTTTGTGGGTTTGATTGGGACCTTTCTGGAGGTTTTTAATGAAACTATTGTGTATTTCCAGGCTGCTGTTGGTGGTTCTTTTAAAAGGTTTTGTGGTTAGTGTTTCGGATTTCACAGTTTCGTTTAGGAGATTTACTGGTGTGCATTTGCAGTAGTTGTTTGTCTCTTTTACATCTGATTATTGAGTTGTTTGTGGTGGTGTTCAGTAGTTCTGTTGTTTTGTTGTTTATTTTGGTGGTGCGTTTTGTGTTTGGTGACATTTAGGGTGTTTGTGGGTTCGATTGGGGCCTTTCTGTATGTTTTTAATACAACTATGGTGTATTTCCAGGGTGATGTTGGTGGTTTATTTGCAGTTGTTTGTCTCCTTTAAATTTGATTAATGGATTGTTTTCATGGTTTTACAGTTTGCATTAGGCCCTTGATGGTTTGCATTTTATATGTTCTGGTATTAGATTGTTTATGTTGGTTTGTGTTTTGGTTGCTTTGTAGGCAATGGCACCTGCTAAGAAACGTGCAGTAAAAGGGAAAGAAAAGGAAAAAGTATCGACACCTAAGAAAGATGGTGTTTCTCCTGTGGCTGGAAAGCCGGATAAGAGGCATCGCAGTAATACTAATCGTATTCTTGCCATCATGGAAGCTGACAGTACAACTGAAGAAAAACTGCAGATGCTTGATCCTCTGGGTTATAGGGGTGTGTCGAGGGTTAAGCTTACGAGACTCCCGGATAATTTTACTGAATGGATTTGCAAAAGTTTTGATGTCAGTTCAAGGTCTTTCCCGCTGCTTCGGTCAGGGAAGTTTAGAATTGGAGAGGCAGATGTGGAGAGAGTTTATGGTTTGCCGCGTGGACCGTATGCTGTTAAGCTGGATATGTTTAGTGCATCCCAGAGGCACAAGTGGGGAATTGAGTTAGGGCTTTGCAATACTAGGAAAGGAAAGGCGACATTGGCGAATGTTAAACTGGCATTGGAAGAGGAGAAGGACAATAAGAAGTGGAGGGATCTTTTTGTGCTGTATGCAATGGAGGCAGTTCTGTGCCCCAGTGGAAATTTGAAGATTGACCTCTCCTATGCTGGGTTTTTGCAAGATGAAATGATCGATGACTTCAACCAATATAATTGGTGTAAGCATGTGGCTGACCATTTCAATGAAAGTATGGTTGAAGTGGTTCAATCAAAATCAAAGTTCCCTGGTGACGTTCATCTTCTTTTTGTAAGTAGAAAAATATACCTCTTTTCGAAGTTTGGTTTATTGTTTCATTTATGGTTTGTTTATTGACGAATGTGGTGTGGTTGAAGTTGTTTATGGTTTGTTTAATAATTATTATGGTTTGCTTTTTGCCCCCCTTTGTTATAATGTTTCTGGTATAGTTTTCATTTATGGTTTGTTTATTGACGAATGTGGTGTGGTTAAAGATGTTTGTGGTTTGTTTAAAGCTATTTATGGTTTGGTTTCCCCCCTGTTATAATGTTTCTGCAGTTTGTCATTTATTGTTTGTTTATTGACGATTGTGGTGTGGTTGAAGATGTTTATGGTTTGTTTAAGAGTATTTATGGTTTGGTTTTCCCCCCTGTTCATTTTATGTGGTGTGTATTATAATCTTTCTGGCACAGTTTGTTTGTGGTTGCTTGACTTCTGTCTGTTTGTCTGTGGCAGATTTCGATTCTTGATCGTTTGAAGAACCCTCCTGAGTTGCCCATACCAACCTGTAGGCATAGGTCGTACAAAGTCGCAAGTGCTGCTTTTCAAGTACTGATGGAAGAAGGTCATCTCTCTATTGGTCATCGAGATGTAGTGGCGGAAGAACAAGCAACCACCAGTCAACCAATGGGACGAGGACGTGTGAAGGGTACAAAGAGGAAAAGGTCGGTAGATGATCTTGATATGGTGAGGGAAGGGGATCTTCCGAAGCTTCCCTATCTTGACATCAACTTGGATGGTATTCATTCGGTTGAAGATGTGAGTATTTTTTGCTGTTTTATTTGTTTTATGGCTTTCTTTAGCATACTTTCAGTGTGCTTTAAAAGGATAGTGGTTTGCATTAGTTTGTTTACGGAATACTTTATTTAATTCATGTGTTGGTTAGTTGTGTTTTCTGTTGTTTGTTCTTTGGGTTGCTTTAGTGTACTTGTGGTTTCTGTTAAAAGAATAGTGGTTTGCATTACTTCGTTAAAGGAATGCTTTATGGTACTCATCGTTTGGTAGGTGTTTTTTTGTGAGAATTCAAACATATGTGGTTTGTATACGTGTGTCTTAGGTGTTCATTAAAAGGAATTTGAGATTCTTTAGAAGGTTTATGGTTTGCTTTTGGGCTGTTTTCGTGTTTTTGTAGGCATATCAGTTGAAGAGTGACATGGAAAGTTATAAGAGGGCTTTGTTGAGGATGGCTACTCATTACAGTTCGAGCATTGAACAAGTTGATGAGCATATAAAGATGTTGGAGGGGCAGCAACCAGAGGATAGTCCTGAAGATAATGTCGATTTCACTGATACTGTTGAGGATCTTGCTGTTGGTAAGGGAACCAATGATGTCGGTCGCAATGCAGATGCTGCCAATGCTGATGATGAGACAGGTGCTAAGAGAATATCAGATCCAAAGTCCCCGGGTCTTGATGATTTGTCAATGGAGATGGATAAGAATGGTGCGCCGCCAGATGTTGGTCGCAATGCAGATGCTGCAAATGATGATGATGAGACTGGTGCTAAGAGAGTATCAGATCCAAAGTCCCCGGGTCTTGATGATTTGTCAATGGAGATGGATAAGGATGGTGCGTCGCCAGATGTTGGTCACAATGATCCTGCTGGCATTGCTGATGATGATACCTCTGCTAAGGGAGTATCAGATTCGAAGGGGCTTGATGATCATCTTGATAATCTGACAATGGAGATGACACAAAAAAGTGTTGATTCTGAGAATGCTAAGAAGGTGGAGATGGACAGCTGTGAGGGAAAGGGAGAAGGTGATGATGGAGATGACAATGTTGATGATGTTGACGCTGCTAAGTTGGATAACTTGGTTGAGAAGGTCGTAAAGGTATTTTTACTGTTTTGTGTTTGAATATTTGTGGTGTGGATTATACTGTTTTTGGTTTGTTTTTCATGTCTTTTGTAGTAGGTTGTTTTGCATTTGTTAGTAGTGTGGTTTACATATATCTGGTTTTGTTAAAAACTTTTGTGGTGTGGTTTCTGTAGTCTGCTATGGGGGATGTTCGTGAAGATGTGGTGGTTGATGAGAAAAGGAAAGAAGCTGATGCCGGTGAGGTGCTTGAGGGTGGTGATGATAGTGCAGATTTACCATTGAGTCAGCTATTTGAGAATAGGAAGGGAAAGGTAATTTTGTTGTACAATGTTTCAGTTTTGGTTTGTTTTTGTAGTGTGGTTTATCGCATTTGTGGTTTGTGTTAGTTGTCTTTTGTACTGTTTTATCTAATTTGTGGGTTGCTTTAAAAATCAGAAAAAATTGAAAGTGAAGAATGCAGGAGGCTCATCAGGTGTTGATGATGATGTGTTGAAGGGTGCTGTGTTGCGATATGCAAGTGGTTCAACTAACTTGTAAGTTAATGTGTATATATTTTATACATATGTGGTTGTTTGTGTATATATATATTTATATATAGTGCTTATTGGTACTTTTCTAATGCCCGACTGTTTTGTTTGTTATGGAATTATGAAAAATAGGAAGGAAATCCTTTTCAGTCGTGTTGATGGATACGATTGCTTGTATAGAAAGGATACAGAGACTTTGGCACATGGTCAATGTGTGAGTGTGGATTTTATTGACTGCTATGCTGCCTATCTGAATCGGGAGCAAGTGAGAAGCGGGCGACTGAAAAGATGGGTGTTCTATTCAGGGCTGGCGTTGAGTTACATTTTCTGCTAGTTCTGGTTTGTTTTAGTGTTTTTGTGGTGTGCATTATAATACGTCTAGTTTGGTTTAAGGTTTTTGTGTTGTGCATTATAATACGTCTGGTTTGTTTTAGGGTTTTTGTGGTGTGCATTATAATACTTCTGGTTTGTTTTATGGTTTTTGTGGTGTGCATTATAATACGTCTGGTTTGTTTTACTGTGTTCTACCTTGTAGCAAAAAGTGCACACGATAGTGAAAGAGTCTGGAGCACTGCCTAATTTTTTTGAAGAGACTGACGAAATCATTACAAGTTGCAAGTGGATACCACATAATGTGGACTTCTCACAATGTGATTATGTATGTATTTTTTTTAGTCACATTTGCTACATTGTTTCATGTGTTTTTTTTTCTTCATTGTGTTTTGAAGTACTGACTTGTTTTTGTTTTGTACTATGCAGTGGATATTCCCCCACTGTTCTGATGAACACTACAGGCTGTATGTAGTGAATCTGAAGAACAAACGATATGATTATCTTGACAGCCTTTACCCTGATGAACTTAATACCAAGTTTCGTGCTGTTGCGGATATGGTGGTCCGCTATGCCACAGAATACATTCCTGCCTGTAGACAAGAGTCCTTCAAGTTTGAAGAATTCAAGTGGGTTAGAATGCGAGGGTTAAGACAACGTGGTGGGGTTGACTGTGGTGTTTTTGCTATGAATTTTGCTGAGTTTTGGGAAGGCAAACTGATGCCAGGTATGAGGAATTGGCAAAAAGAAATCAATCAGAGGCGGGATGAGATCACATTAACATTGCTGCTGAATGAGGAGAACAGTGTACTTGAAGAGGTGAAGAAGAAGAGTTTGGAGTTTGATCGCAAGGTGGACTAGCTGATTTTAGGATGCATTTGCAAGAACAGTTTCAGATTTCAGTGTGTTAATATGTGTTTTAGTGTGTTAGTGTTCTGTATCTGAAGTGTTGTGGGTTGATTAAGAAGATTTGTGGTGTTCTTCGTGTATGGTGTGTATTATAAGACAAGTGGATTGTTTAACGTGTATTGTAGTGTGGTTCATAAGTTTTATAGTTTGTTTCTGTTTCCCTGGGTTATACAATGTATGGTTTGTTTTAGTACATATGTGGTTTGCTTAATGAGTGTTCTGGAAAGTTTCCATATGTTTGTGGTTTGGTTTTGTTAAGAGGTTTCTTAGTTTGTTTTCTTCCTGTATGGTGTGTATTATAAGACAAGTGGTTTGTTTAACGTGTATTGTAGTGTGGTTCATAAGGTTTATAGTTTGTTTCTGTTTCCCTGGGTTATACAATGTACGGTTTGTTTTAGTACATATGTGGTTTGTTTTGATGTATCTGTGTTATTGTTTGTCTCAAAACCTTCAACTGTTTATATTTGTCTCATAGTTGTCATTGAAATCTAAAAGTCTATGACAGATAAAAAAACACGGATAACAAGGAGACTAATCATCACTCATTGTTGCTTTTGTAACGCTTGTTGGTAGCCTGTTCATCAATTCTTTGCTTTCTAGCCCTCTCTAGCGCTACCTCAAGTCCACCTTTTGGCCTCTTCTTTGATTTCCATGGGTCTTGTCGAGCCTTGAATCCCTTCACACTGGCATACTTGTCATTTGTAGCTGAAGCAGCAGCGCTTTGCGAGGGTGATGTACTGGTGGTTCCAACTGTTGAAAAAGCAATATGCAAGATACTAGTGAACATAAGTAGGGATTAAGCAATTAGTGGATTGGATTAAGATGTTTATGGTTTGCATTAGCTCATTAGTGGCTTGGATTAAGCAATTACTGGTGAATATAAGAAGAGATGCTAACAAGATGTGTGAAATTACCAGGTGCTGTTTGCTGAGTTTCTTGAGTCTGAAGGCTTTGGAAAGCAAGTTTAGTGAGCTCTGCAATCTTTTCCTTAACCATTGAGAAGACCTTGTCATTCATTGAGACTTTTGTTGCTAGGATAACCATGCTAGCACATAGTTCTTGATACCTCCCTGCATAAGTATCTGTTGCAGCACATTCTGTTGTGTTTATTGTGAACTTCTCTCCAGATTTGGCATCTCTCGTCCATCGTGGCAGAATGTATTCCTTAGGGATAGTCAATTGCTCAATATCATCACCATTGAATCCAACCATCTCTATCTTCCTGATTATATGTCTGCACAACCAGCCTGAACTTTCAAACAAACGACATGAGCACTTGTATTTCTTCTCCTCTTTGTTCACTAACACGACTCTTTTGTCGAATCCTCCTAGTTTCTTCACTTCATAAGCTGTCATTCCATCTCTATCCATAGATTCATTCCGGAACACAAAAAAAGCAAGGCTTTCTGAATACTCCTCAAGGAAAGAACTGTAGATCTTAGTTGTGTATAATTTTGCGACTTGCTGAACAAGTGGGCTTCTGTCATACCTGTTGGAAGATGACATACAACATACAATCATTCATAAGCATCTTGTCTACATTAATGATTTTATGGTATGTATTGTACTGTTTGTGGTGCGGATTGTGGGATTTATGGGTTGTTTTACGTCGTGTGTGGTGTGGATTGTGTAGTTCATGGGTTGTATTAGGTGGTCTGTGTTGTGGATTGTAGGGTTTTTGGGTTGGTTTAGGTGGTATCTGGGTTGTTTAAGCTTGTGCGGTGTGCATTGTGGTGTTTATGGTTTGTATTAGGTGGTCTGTGGTGTGGATTGTAGGGTTTTTGGGTTGGTTTAGGTGGTATATGGGTTGTATTCAACTGTTCTGTGGATGCATTCTACAGTATAAAAAGTTCAAATAAAGGAAGTAATACATACATGGTGTTTGGGACTGTGTTTGCCATTTGATAATCCATGTCCATTTCGTCTGATCTTTTCCGTTCGACAAACTTGTTGAAGTATGTGAAGAACTCAACTAGGTTGTCATCTGATTGAAGGTAGTTTCGGAGGTTGCTGTTACAAGACTCACTCAGCTATGAGCTTCGCATACCAGCTGTGAAGTGGTCCTTAATCCATGCTGAAGACCACTGTTTCCTCACCTTGTAAATTGAATCCAACCAGTTCCTTGGATTGGTGCCTTCTTCTGGATAATGTGTGTCTAGCAACCTTGACCAATTGTACTCAAATTCTTCCTCATTTTCTACCCCAAAAGTGACATATTGCAGATCTTCTAGAATGTTTGTGTTTGTGGTGTCGAGATGCTTCATTGCATTCTGCTTGATATGAAAAGTACATAAGCCATGGAATGCTTCAGGAATGACGGATCTAATCCCAGCGGCGATTGCAGCAGCTTGGTCGGTGAATATTGATGTTGGTCGGGTGCCTGACATACATTTCAAGAATACATCGAACAACCACTTGAATGTAGCGGTTGTTTCATCATAAAGGAGAGCAGCCCCGAAGATGCAGAGTGCTCGATGGTGGTTGAAGCCAACAAACAAAGCTGTAATTTAAAAATAAAAAAAAGAACATAGAATTAAACATTGAAACAAACAAAGACTGTCTTTTATGATATATATGGTGTGTTTCAGGACGTGTTTAGTATGGTTTATAAGGTTTCTGGTTAGGATGCTCAAAATGAATGTTTCATGTTTTTTTGTCGTTTGTTTTAAGAGTGTTTGGGGTGGTTTTATGTTACTTATGGTATGCATTGGGTAATGTTTGGTATGCATTCAACTTCGAAATATCAAGAAAATTAACTAGTGCAAGGAATACCTCTTAATGCAAACCACAAACCTTTTAATGCATACCACAAATCTTATAAAACAAACCACAAACCCCACAAAGCAAACCACAACATTTGCGGAAGCAGACCATAAACCTCTTAATACAAACCACAAACTTCACAAAGAAAACCAGAAACCTCACAAAGCAAACCACAACATTTGCAAAAGCACACCAGAAACCTCCTCATGCATTGTGTAATGTTTGGTATGCATTCAACTTCGAAATCTCAAGAAAATTAAATAGTGCAAGGAATACTGACCTAGTGGACGATAATTCTGGTTTGTCCTGTATGTTGTGTCGAAGCTGATCGTATCTCCAAAGCAACTGTAGTCAAACCACATTCTTGCATCAGCCCAGAATATACTTGCAATATCTTCGTTACTATCTACCTCAATTTCATAGAAGAATGATGGATTCATGTAAGCTTCGTGGCGAAAATATTCAAGAAGTATAGTTGCTTCGCCTGGTTTCATTGATTTCTGCCTTGTCCCTGTGATATAGTTCTTCAGATCATGAGGGGTAAAAGGTACATTCACCCTCCCCCCTGAAGTTGTGGTGAACAACTCATATGATTTCCGTAGTGAAACTCCACAATCTGCATGCACTTGTGCGACCATTGCATGCATTTCTGAGATCCCCTTGTTGGACCTCAATAGATGTTTGAATTTTGCAGGGAGGAGATCATGGTTGTGTTCTGTTATCCACTTGTCCAGCAGCCATTCATCCTTCTCGATATCATATCTAAATTTGATTATAGCTGGGCAGCCAACTCTAGTTTCTGGTACAGCACGTTGATAAGCCTTGACATCGATTGTTCCTTTATTCTTGGGATTTGACTTGCTTGTGGTCTTGTATCCTTCTTTGCTGCAGCAATACCTAGCATATCGTGCTGTTTTGGTTGGCTGTCTTTTTGTAGAACGTTTGACAGCTCCCATGTCTCTCACGCTGAAGCCAAGATCGTGAGCATAGTTCTTGTAGAATTGTTTTGTTTCCTCAATGGTTTTGAATGCCAACCCCAAAAAAGTGTAGTCCGACTCGGTCCTGTTTGATGTCACACCTGTAAGCAATGATGAAAGAAATGAGCACTTGATCATTTCATCTTGCGATAATATTTACAAGAAAAGTGAAATGTGGTTTGCATTGTAGTTATTCATGATGCTTTTATGACATTTATGGTTTGCATTACAGTGTATGATTTTTTTTACAAACAGATTGTGGAATGTAACGATTTACGTTTTAATGGTGTGTATTGCAGGTGTTTTGGTGCGTTTAAGAAGTTTTATGGTTTGGTTTTTAAGTGTTTTGGTTGATTGTCTCTTTTTTTCCTGTGGTTTGTTTTGGGAAGAATGTGGTGTGTTTGGCGATGCTTTTGGTATCGTTTGTGGGATTTTTGTGGGCGGTTTGATCATTTCATCTTGCGATGATATTTGCTAGAAAAGTGAAAAGTGGTTTGCATTGTAGTTATTCATGATGTTTTTATGACATTTATGGTTTGCATTACAGTGTGATTTTTTTTACAAACAGATTGCAAAAAGTTTTTGCAAACAGATTTAGGTTTTAATGGTGTGGATTGGAGGTGTTTTGGTGCGTTTAAGAAGTTTTGTGGTTTGGTTTTTAAGTGTTTTGGTTGATTGTCTCTTTTTTTCTTGTGGTTTGTTTTGGGAAGAATGTGGTGTGTTTGGCGATGCTTTTGGTATCGTTTGTGGGATTTTTGTGGGCGGTTTGATTGGAAGTGTTTATGATATGGTAAGTGGCTTGTATAAGCGTGATTATGGTGCTCATTGTAAGAAAACAAGAAAGGATTGAGTTGAGCGTACCTTCTTCTTGTTCATTGTTGCCACTGTTGGTGGAAATAGAGGTTTCCAGCTGATATCCGCCTTCTGTTGCTTCAGAAGATGTTGCAATTTGCACGAGTTGTTGAGCAACTACAGAACCAACGAAACTTCATCTACACGATTCTCGTCCATCGTCAATGTCTTAGCTGCGATCAGGAGCTTGCTCCGCCATCGCCGCCGTTGCGATAGCTGGTGCGATCAGATCTCGTCGCCCCCGTTGCGATCAGATCTCGTCGCCGTCGTTGAGATAGCTGGTGCGATAAGATCTCGTCGCCACCGTTGCGATAGCTGCTGCGATGACGATCTCGTCCCCGTTGCGGTAGCTGCTGCGTCAGGATCTCGTCGCCGCGCGTTGCAATAGCTGCTGCGAGGGATTTCGTCGCCGCCGTTGCAGTAGCTGCCGCGATGACGATCTCGTCGCCGTTGTGGTATCTGCTGCGTCAGGATCTCGTCGCCGCGCGTTGCGGTAGCTGCTCCGTCACGATCTCGTCGCCGCCGTTGCAGTAGCTGCTGCGATGAGGATTTCGTCGCCCGTCGTTCAGCCTCGGCGCCGCGCGATTGGAGAGAGAATGGTGAGAAACGAGCTGCACTTTTTCGGACAAAAGGAGCTGCAACTTTTCGGTAGGACAAAAATACCCTTCCTTTGTTTTTTACCCTAGTTAACGCATGAATTTCAAAAGTATGCAGAATGGTGGGTTCCTATTGGTCCACCTATGTTGTTGTTACAATAACAACAAATATACTGTTGTTACAATATCCGGTCCCTAATTCAAACTAGTAGTAGTTTTTCCCTTGGTTAGGACGGTGCTAACTATTGTACAATTAGCACCGTAGCCGTTCCCGTAAACTACATTCCTTCCATTCCATTGATTCTCTTGTCTTGATTTCTCCAGTATTGATAATTAGAATCTAGAATTTGGTTTTTTAGGATGGCATGAACTGGGTTACCGTGTCAGTTGGTATGAAACATATACAAAAGATGAACTAAGTACTGGTAATTCACAACTCATAAGGCACACATTGGGATCATAACATGTATGTAGGGATCATAATAGGGTTGAGCAATGGTGAGAAGTAAGGATGATAACCCCCATTCAACCCAACCAGCCAACTTCAAAAGCGAATTTTACACTCACCATAACCCAAAAACAGAAAATAAAATGTCGACTTTACCCACTTTGATCGGGTTATAATGGGTTGGGTACACACGTCTATGTGAGTTTAGTTGTCATCCACGTCGAGAAGTCACTCATCAATTGACTCATCAATCTAACGTGTCTATCTATACTTTGAGCATTCTTATGTTGTAAAAATAAATGAATCGCTATTTGCCGCCCGTGTATTATGAAAAAAGTCTATTTTGCCCTTCAACACTTTAGAAACCTAACTGAATTGCCCATCCCTGCCGTCGGAATCGCTGGCCGGGTTTTGCAGCCGATGTGGAGAAACAAACTTGCCACCCTCAAAACTATAACCGCCGACTTCACCTTCTTCTTTTTTGTCCACGAATTCCACCAACAATTAGACCTTGCCTTCCTCTCTTTTTTCCCACGATTCGGCGACGATTTGCTCTCAATCTCCTCGTTCTTGCGTGGCGGCTGCGGCGAGGGAATCATCGCCATGGATCAAGACCTGGCCGGATCGGAAGAAGATGGGTGGTCCGACTACGACAATTAGACGGGATGGGTGATCGTCGCCGGAGTACGGACGGACGGAGACACTCAGTCCGAAGTTGGATTTCGGACGGGGTCCGACGGTGGGTTTCGGACGGGGTCCGACGTCAGGTTTCGGACGGGGTTCGCCCTCTCGAGTCGGACGGCATCCGCCCGCCGGCGTCGGACCGGCGTACGATTTCCGACGTCGGTGTGCGATTCCCTAATTATGAGGTTAATTAGTATTCAAATAATTGTAAAATACCATAATTAAAATTTTAAATTTTAAATGATTAATTAAATTCCTATTTTCCTTATTTCACCCAGGATTTATGACGAGAATATTGATTTCCTCAATTAATCAAATGATAGAAGTTTAATTGTATATATTGTATTTACCTAATTAAACAACGTCTAATTCTATTTCTCTAATTATGACCCGAACAACCTTCCTACTCAATAACCCACATCTAATTCTACTTCCCTAATTAACAATTGTATTTCTCCACCCTTCTTAATTTAATTAAGGTAAGTTTAGGTTATTCTGAATTTTCGTGTTTGTCCATTAGGTGAATTTAACGCAAACAATGGAATTGATAAAATAAAATTATACCATTGAAGTAATTAACAGACTACTACGAAAAGGTAGCTATTTTTGTTATATGTAGGATTAGATGATATTAAGGTTTTATTTCCAATTATGATTGTGTTTCCCATTAATATATTTCCAACGTTAGTGCATGCAGAGTGGACACATATAATTGCATTCCACATACGTACCGGGAAGGGAATAGAGCCGCGGACTGGCTCTCGAAGCACAGTCTCGTCTATCCCTACGGAATGCATGAGCTTGCTAACCCGCCCTCAGGGCTAGGTCCCATTCTGCAGGATGATGTTAGGGGGGTGTGTTTCGAGCGTCGGATTGTTCCCGGAACGCTCGGCCCTGCCCTTCCCTCTTAGCCTCCCTCCTCCTCTCTTCTTTGGCGAGTTTCGCCTCCTGTAATGCAAAAAAAATATAATTGCATTCCACATTAACTTCCCCCATTTATTGTTAATAATCAACGCCTAATTAATCTCTCTGTGCCTTAATCTGTTATTGGCTCCAACTTCAAAACCATCTTTTCCAATTTCCATCGCCGGAAGAAGCGGCACGAGTCAAACAGGGAGCACGGTAGTCCGCCATGCGGCATCGGACGGTGGTCCGCCATTCGGCGTACAGTGGTCCGCCCGGCAACGTCGGACGGGGTCCGTCCTTGCTCTCCGGCGTCGGTCCGGTGCTTGGTGTTGACGACGAGAAACAACGATGCTGGGAAGACGATGAAGGGAGGACGACACCGACATACTGGGAGATATGTTGGGACGACGATGAAGGGAGGAAGCCGCCGATAAAAACGGTCGGAATGATGCCGGAGGTCAGAGGGAGGAAAGCAATCGAACGTGAGATTTGATTGGGGTGGGTTACAAATATGGAGGAGGGCAAAAATGTCATTTACTTTAAAATTGTGGGCGGCAATTAGTAATTCTACGGGCGGAAAATAACAATCCTCAAAAATAACACTAGCCAATAAAAAACTAGCCATCAACTAGATTCAATTTTCTCCAATATCTCAAACTAATAACACTCATTGATGACCATATATTTTATGTGTTCAATTCATGCAAATGGTAACAGAAATTGATCATGACGATACGAAGTTTTTTTTTTTGTCACGTCAAACATGCATGCCATAGGTCATGGTGTGAATTATCATTGCACTAACATGAAAATATGCATATACCATCGGTCATGGTGTGAATTATGAATTACATTTAACATAAATTGAATATGAAATATACATGTCGTTCGTCATGGTGTGAATCATCAACAAGTTAACATAATGTTAGGAATGAACGACAATGATTGTTCCCAAACGTTTACTCATCCAATTCCGTTACATTCACTCCATTGATTCTCAACCCTGCAAGCATGTCGAGCATACATACAAACGACAAGCCGTCACCAGAGTACTTCATCGGAGTCAAATCGATCAAGATCGATGGCAAAGCAATTCTATTGAATAAAAGCTATGTTATCCATAAACAAAAATGGTCATGAACGGACTAAAATTAGCACAAGTTATTACCCATACACAGCTCTGCACACTTCAATATACAATTCCTTGGTCAAGGAGTTCACGAAATGGATATGATCACAGGGCATGAAAAGGGTCGGAGCCGTGGTACCGTTTGAGCCTTGAGGCATGATTTAACTCCACGGGCATTTTCAGCACCCGGGTCGGGGCAAGTGTCCCTGTGATCACCCTTGCGTTGAAGGGCAGAAAGCTTTTTGGAGCATGTTTGGATCGAACTCGACGGTTGAAGTGAAGAAGAGTGTACCAGTTGGAGAATGTCCTGTTGCAGTTTAATGTTGCTGGGAAAAGGTTAGGGTCCGGTCCTACACTTTTGGGTGATCGCACTAGTTGTGCCCACTTCTTCAACTTTACCTCCAAAGCTTAGTTACTAAAGGGCCCGAATAAAATATATGCATATCTTGATGGAGATGGTCAATCTTCTCTATCAATTTAGAGGATTATATTATGTTTCTGGAGTTCTACAGGCAGAGCCACGGGTTGTGAGCAGGGGATGCCATTCTCGGAGATCCCCTGTTTTTTAGTCTTAGTTACGGACCAATTCTTAACTCTATCAGTCTGCCATTGCCATACTTCAACTTGCAACCCTATGCAGGAATGATTTGATTCTCTCAGACCCTTCTGCATTAAACATGATTCCACATGTTTCCAGCTGGTTGACCACATGATCCCCAGTTTCAATACCCCAAAGTGGAAAAAATATCTACGCATATGTTTACTATCAACTTGATCTATTTTAATGGTTGGAATGTGTGCCTACAAGCTGGCATCTCAGTGGAAAACCCAATACAAATAGACAATCAGACATATGGAAAGAAACACCAAATCTTCCCATATCACCAAAAAAAACACCAAATCAACCATGGTTCTCCTCCCTTTCCCTTCTACTACCCTTCTCATTTCCTGTCTTCTCTGCTTCTGCATCACATTATCTCAAGCCCAGCAACCCTCTTTCCGCCCAAAAGCCCTAGTCCTCCCCGTTACGAAACACCCATCAACACTCCAATACCTCACCCACATCATCCAACGAACCCCACAAGTCCCAGTGAAGCTAGCCCTCGACCTCGGCGGCCGATCCCTCTGGATCGACTGCGAAGATAACTACGCCTCATCGTCCTACGCCCCGTCTCGCTGCGAATCGTCTCAATGCCACCTCGCAAACTCCAACCTCTGCACCACCGAATGCTACCAATCGGCACCAAAGCCGGGCTGCTACAACAACACCTGCGGCATGCTGCTCGAGAACACCTTCACCCAAACCGGTACGACCGGGGATCTCGGTCAGGACCTCGTCTCGATCCAATCGACCGACGGGTCGAAACCGGGCAAAATCGTCAAAGTTCCGCACTTTCTCTTCACTTGTGCCCTCAGTTTCGTGCTAGATGGACTTGCAAAGGGTGTGAAGGGAATTGCTGGACTTGGCAGGAGTAACCTCTCCCTCCCTTCTCAATTCTCTGCTGCCTTCAGTTTCCCCAAGAAATTTGCAATCTGCTTGAGCAAATCCGGGAAAGGAGCTGTCTTCTTTGGAGATGGGCCTTATGTGATGCAACCAAACGTTGAGATCTCCAAGTCATTGATCTACACTCCATTGCTTCTCAAAAAGGTCAGTACAGATTTCGCTACCTTTGCAGGGGAGCCTTCCTCTGACTACTTCATTGGAGTCAAATCAATCAAAATCAACAACAAAACTGTCCCATTCAACACTACTTTGCTCAAAATCACCAAAGAGGGTTTCGGCGGGACGAAGATTAGCACTGTTCAGCCATACACCGTCCTCGAGACTTCGATTTACAAAGCTGTGATTGCCACTTTCGCCAAGGCGCTGAGTGGAGTGGCCAGAGTGGCAGGGGTTAGGCCGTTCGAGCTGTGTTACAACTCGGCGGCGATTGGGAGCACACGAGTTGGACCCGCTGTGCCGCAGATCGATCTGGTGTTGCAGAGCAGCAAAGTGTACTGGAGGATTTTCGGTGCGAACTCGATGGTTCAAGTGAAGAAAGGTGTTCTCTGCCTCGGGTTTGTGGATGGTGGGATGGATGCCAGGGCTGCCATTGTGATTGGTGGGCATCAGTTGGAGGATAATCTGCTGCAGTTTGATCTTGCCGCTTCGAGAGTTGGGTTCAGCTCGTCTTTGTTGTCTAGGCAGACTAATTGTGCCAATTTTAACTTCACTTCTGCTGCTTGAAGGCAGGGGAATTGTTGCAGGGTTAAGAGATGGCGTGCCATTTGTTGTTTTAGTGTCTTTTTTTTTTCTTTTGTTTCAGCTGAAGTTTGGAATCTAAGTCGAGTAATTCAGAATTAGTTGATGGGTCAAAGCAAGTTCTTGTAATTGTTAGCAAAACTAGTCAGGGTTGGTCGAGCTTGATGGCTGCAAGTCTGTACTTCATCAATACCTGACTTTTCAATAGACGTTTTTGTGAGCTTGCCTTTTACATCCCGTGTAGTGAATTGAAGCTACTGATGTCAATGGGCCAAAATGGGCCGGGTATTGCTCAACCCAGCCCAACTCCGTCATTTTTTTTCATGGCCCGCCCCGCCCCAAAACCCACCACGGGCCTGCTTATGGTGACCCACGCCTCAACCCGCACGGGTCGGGTCCGACCCAGACCCGCCCTGTTCAGTGATAATTCAAAACAAGTGCACAAACTAATAATTGATAAAAAAGAACAAAATAGCCTGCTTAACCATTCCAACCGAATTAAAAGCATAAATCCAAGTCCTCCGAAACAACAAAACATCAAACTTAAAATAAGGTTCAAACCCAGAAATCTTCAAAACAAAATAAAATAGAAATCATAACATTCCAACAAGAACTCCTCTTCAAAAAGCAGCAAAGAACATCACAGCAACTTGAATCTCCCACAGCAGCTTAAATCTGTGCAAGTCCTCTTAGGGCATCTGTTGTAGTGCTTTTTCAAGTGACTGGTCCCGTGCTTTGGCTCTCCCATCATCAATCTCTTGCAGTATTTGCACTTGGCCTTCTTCACTCCCCCAACTGTTAATCGATCATAATGTGCCCACCATTCAGAGAAAGTTCTGTTGTTACCACCCTTGGCAACCCCCTCTTCTTGTACAGCCTCAACAGAATCATTTGGATTCGGCTGATTAATCTTATTTGCATTTGGTTGATTTGCTTGATCTGCATTTTGAACACCAGGGGCAACTTCAACAACGTTTGGAGTTGGAGAAGTTGTTGGGTTCGAGACAGCAACAACGCTTGCAGTTGGTGGAGCGTCACTGGCTTGTCGTTGTTCAGCCATGGATTGTGCTGCAAAAAAGAACATTGATACTGTTAAATCTGCTTATTGTAGAGGGGAATGTAATCATTTAAATACCTAAATCGATGTGGAATGGAATCAATTACCTGCCCAGGCCCCAAAAGGAGTTCTTTTCGAGTTGAAGAGATGATCAAATAAGCAAGCACCAATTCTGGAAATAGGGTTTGGATTGTGGTCTATCTCTGGATTCTAGAGTATGGAGAAGAAGAATCAACTGTCTATTTATACATTCTAAGTATGAACCTGAAGGGATTACGAGTGGGAGACTGCTGGGAATTGGATTTGCATTCGTAATGAATGAGAATGACTCTCTCTTCCTTGGGGAAGGTAAGCATTCTTAATGAAGGGGTTAGAGTGGGAGACACTTTTTCTTGGGAAAGATTAGCATTCATAGTGGGAGACACTCTCTTCCTTTCAACGGGCATAGAAGATGAATCGCTCGCTGATGACTCGATATTTGCACATGTTTTCCCCTTTGTTTCTTGATCGTTTAAGCTTGCATTATTGCTTCTTTGGCCTATTTTACGCTAGGTTGTGTTCCTTTTTCACATTTCAGGTCCTAGCACATAAAGTGAAGCGTATGCGCAAGTTTCAAGTCAATCGGAGATCAATTGGCGACTCGGGGGAAGAAACTCGGGTATGACTTGAAGAAGAATGGATTTCTACCTCCGTTTGTGACCATATAATCATGTAATCTTGTCATGAGAAGAAAGAGGACGAGACTACGAGCGTCTGGGATCAAACGACACCTGATTTGGAGTCCGAACGAGGGAGAAACGAAGAATCAAAGATAGGGGAAAATTGGTTTCGGGCTTCTCTGAGAAACAGAAGGGGGCCCTATCGTGAACCAAAAATCCCCGGTCGTGAACCAAAATCCCCGGTCGTGACCCAAAAATCCCCGGTCGTGAACCAAAAAAATCCCCGGTCGTGACCTAAAATACTCGACCGGGTATTTTGACCGGGGATCTCGAACGCAGGCTGTTAAAAGCCTGTTTTGTGCGTTTTTGCAAGGGAGAGCTGGGTTAGGGACGAACCAAAGAGAGAGAGGGTGATTTGAGGGCATTGTAAGAGGGGAATTGGAGGATTTCTTCGCCTTGGAAGCTCGAGGAATAAGCCCGGACTTGAAGACTGATCATCTGAAGATTCTTACTACAGTCTCTCTCTTCTCTATGGAGTAACTTCCCTTCACTTAGGATTTGAGGAACCCTAGCTATGATTGTTTTATTGGATGATTGTATGAGTACTCTTACTTGATAATCTTGAATTCATATTCAATCTATGCATGTTTTCACGATTTAATTCTGCTTTAGTCGAGATTATTGATTCTGCTTTGATCCTATGAGAGCGAATACCTGATTAGGTCAATAGAGCACCATAGATTGATAGTAGTGGATCGATTTCTTTAGTCGAGGGTTGATTCACTGATTTGTATCTATTGAGAGCCTCTTTCGATAGAGGGAGTATAGTTCAGAACGCCTTGATCGGTTGTGCTAGAGAAGGATACGTCCCTCTAGGCAATTGACTCAAGAGGGCCTTGTTCCTTTAGTCGAGACTCAAGGTCTAGTCAAGGATTCTCCGCATTGTGGATGAAAGTGAAACAAGTTAGAGATCATCAATAGTTAATCTGGCTAGTGGCTAGGGGGAATCATACCTGAGTGAGTTCCCAACCTGTAATTAGATTAACTTTAACTGTAGTTTGCTAGAGTATTTTTAGTTCTTTCATCTTAATATAGTTTGCTAGATAATGAACTGAAGCTGAGTAATAGTAACTCTAGAGACCCGTGGATTCGATATTTATTACTTGAGCCACTATACTGCAGTCCCTTTCATTGGTTACACTTGGCCATTGTTAGGAGTTGTGTCATAGCGAGTCAAGTTTTTGGCGCTGTTGCCGGGGGACTTTCTAGAGTATTAGGAAAGGCAGAAGTTTGTTACTTTAGCGCTTTTTCTTTTCTTTTATTTTCCACCCTTGCTTTTCACTTGGGTGTTTTTGTTTCTGTTGGTGTAGATTTGAATCATGGATCCTCATGACTTCTCCAACCAGTGGGGGTATCCACCACCATCCGAGTAGTATTACCCCGAGACTCCCTGCAGCAATCAAGGAGGAGAAGACTATGGATTCGGGTTCCAGTATCAACCCTCTTACTATGGAGAACAACCGGACCCCTGGGCATATCAAGAACAACCTCATTACCAAGAAGAATTTCTCCCACTACCAGAAGGGCCATCGGTGCTGGAGTTACCCATGGCGGCCTTCACGGGCCATTCTGCAGAGCGATGCTACACTCCACAGCCAGATCCAAACTACGAATCGAGGCTTCTCATAGAGTAGTTTGCTCGAGACAGTGAGAGATCATTGTCTAGGATGGATCTTTGTACCCAGGCCTATCGTGAAACGGAGGAGATCCTCCTGAGCCTTAAGAAGAGCGTCGATGATCTTGAGCGATCTTGTGCACAACCTTCTCCAGATCACCCTTCTGCTACCATACTAGAAGAGGAGGAGGAAGAAGAAGGCTACAAGGACATGGTGGAGCACACAGAAGTTGTCACAGAGAGCTCCCGTGATGATCATGATCAGGAATGTCCTGTCGTAGTCGACCACACCTTCCCACATCCCAATCTGAGCTTTGAAGAGGCGGGCATGAGTGAGGAGATGCAAGAAGATCTCATGAAAGAAATTGCTTGGCAACTTGCTCTCCAATCCGTGCTAGAAGAAGAAGAGCAAGAAAGGGTGCAGAAAGAAGTTGTGGAGGATGACGAAAGTGAAGAGGAGGAGTTCTTGATCATTTCCCAGGGGTGATACCACATGAACAAGGAAGGGAGGTTGAAGAAGCAATTGGCGTCCAGGCCGAGGACGAAGTTGAGGTGGAAGAGGCCTGCATCGGCCATGAGTTGCAAGTAATATCCCCACCAAACTTTGAGGAACTGCTTAGCAAGGACCCATTTGCAGTGTCTCTTTGCCAGACCAAGGCCACATTGACAGCGGTCCCTCTTGGTGGACGTGATGGTGGTCAATCGATGTTGTCATATCTGGTTTGGGGCAATGAGACGAGAGAAGAGAAGAAGAGGTCTCGAGGGTGGAGACTTCATCTGCATCAAGTGCACGAGCTTCCATCTACTGTCATACCACATGCTCGTGACTTGAGATTCCACCTCATCGACGAGAACCTCAACTTCAAAGAGGTTTTGGGGTGGACCGAAACTTAGGAGCCATCGTCCGTCTCACAACGTGAAAGAAGCGCTTGTTGGGAGGCAACCAACCAGTCGGTTTGCATTTCTTTCTCTTTTTCTCCTCGGTTGAGTCAGTTTTGTTATTTGATTTTAGAGTCAATAACTCAACCTTCGTGAGATTTTGTGTGGTGTTTGTGTTCCGACTACTCTCTCCTCCTGGAATGCACCGCCTGCCCCGTCCACCATCATTCACCCTTGATCTGGTAACTTCGTTCTACCCTCCTTATCTTTCCTCCATTGAGGACAATGTCGTGCTTAAGTGTGGGGGGATGTTCGATTATGAATGCGTGTGAATGTTTGGTTGTTTGTGTGCTTGGAGCCTAGTCCACTGTCCAAATTTCGATTTGAGGGCTCCAAGTACGTGTTCCTTGCAATTGCCTGCTCAGTATGCTTTGAATTGACAGTCTTTATAGTAATATGCAACCTAGGGAGGTAGTGTAGCACTATGGAGGATGTTGATGCATTTAAGAAGTCTCCTTTCTTCTTCATATTGTGTTGGTTGATTGTGTGAATTAGTGATCTTAGGACCCTTGAATTGTGTGGTGTTGTGGACTCTATACCTGTCATGGACTCCAGTATCATGTTTTGAAATAAAAGGTGCTCGATAATGTGCTTTAAAATAACGTCTCCCGTGCGAATAGGGCGAAAGTGTGTAAGGGGAGACGGGAATTCGTTCCCAATTTCCACCTACTACCTCCAGCCCTCTTACATTCCTTTTCCCCGCACGAGGCTCGAGACATTCGCTCCCGGCATGGCCGGTAAGAGCCGGGTTCCCGCAAAACCTTTGCTAGGTGGGAGCCCCGTTTTCTCAAAATCGGGTTGGAACCCTTGAAAAAGAGAGAAAAAAAAGAGAACAAAAGAAAAGAAAAAAAAGGGGTTCCAACCGTCTTCAAAAAGAAAATAAGAGCACCTCGAAAAATGTGAGTCCATGATCTTTTGTTTTTGAGAGTCTCTTCGTCCACTATTCATTTGTCCTCTGATCACTATTTTCCATGATGCCGACTCGAGACTAGCGTTCTCGCCGAAGAAGCTATGAGATGACTTGTGCGTCGGTTGACCTCGTAAGCTGCTAAATGATCTAGAAAATCCTCTATCAAGGATCGAGGGTACATGTTGCTATAAAGGTCTGGAGAGCTGCATTGGTTTGAGTTAGGTTTGCTTGGGGACAAGTAAACGGTTAAGTGTGGGGGGATTTGATGACTCGATATTTGCACATGTTTTCCCCTTTGTTTCTTGATCGTTTAAGCTTGAATTATTGCTTCTTTGGCCTATTTTACGCTAGGTTGTGTTCCTTTTTCACATTTCAGGTCCTAGCACATAAAGTGAAGCGTAGGCGCAAGTTTCAAGTCAATCGGAGATCAATTGGCGACTCGAGGGAAGAAACTCGGGTATGACTTGAAAAAGAAGGGATTTCTACCTCAGTTTGTGACCATATAATCATGTAATCTTGTCATGAGAAGAAAGAGGACGAGACTACGAGCGTCTTGGATCAAACGGCACCTGATTTGGAGTCCGAACGAGGGAGAAACGAAGAATCAAAGATAGGGGAAAATTGGTTTCGGGCTTCTCTGAGAAACAGAAGGGGGCCCTATCATGAACCAAAAATCCCCGGTCGTGAACCAAAATCCCCGGTCGTGACCCAAAAATCCCCGGTCGTGAACCAAAAAAATCCCCGGTCGTGACCTAAAATACCCGACCGGGTATTTTGACCGCAGGCTGTTAAAAGCCTGTTTTGTGCGTTTTTGCAAGGGAGAGCTGGATTTTGGATCCCAAACACCCTAGGGAGAACCAAAGAGAGAGAGAGAGAGGGCGATTTGAGGGCATTCTAAGAGGGGAATTGGAGGATTTCTTCGCCTTGGAAGCTCGAGGAATAAGCCCGGACTTGAAGACTGATCATCAGAAGATTCTTACTGCAGTCTCTCTCTTCTCTATGGAGTAACTTCCCTTCACTTAGGTTTTGAG